AGCATTCCGAGTGAGTGCCGCACGGCAAGTCCTGGTTGTGCTCGTAGCAGGAGAAATATTCGAAGCGCAGGAACAGGCACGAGTAAATCGTTTCTATCACCTCGATACAGTACTCCAACGGTTGTATAGAAAGTACTAGGCGTTTGATGTCTTCTAGAGAGTTGTTCGTTTCTTGCGCGTTCTCCATTCCCTCCGTGGAATTCAGTATGGTGTCTATTACTTTTGTAATGGCGCAATAGCTGTTGTAAGTTGACGTGTCCCAGCTTGCATTTAGTTTCTTTGTTTTGGCACAGCTTTTGTCGCTTAGATTAATCAGTTCTATGATGAAGTCATTGTTTGTACTTAGCAACCTTGAAACTTTATACCTGTCTATTTTAGACAGTCTACAAACTTGGGATATAACAGTGAGGGCGCTTTGCGATAGAACTTGGCTAAATATAGAAGTTGTCATAATTTTACAATTGTTTTCTAAACAAAACTTGATAACAGTTAATTCTCTCTTTATTTCAGTGATATAGAATTGTAACTGAGAATCTGTTGTTGTGTATGCCTCAAGAATAGAAAATATATTAGTTAATTGATGGACCAAGGACGGTAGGTCATAGGTCTCTGGGCAATTAGTGAGATCAATAAGCACCATAATTATAATTTGTTTTGTAAAATTATTTATTTTAAAGGTTACATTCTTCATATCGTGTAATTGCTGCCTATATATTTGTGCCGCTTTTAACAACCAATGTGTTTTGTCTTGATAACACAATTCAAGCATATACTCTGGTGTCAATTTAAATTCCTTTTGAGGCTCATTTTTATGTACAAAATCTGAAATTGTACTGAGCATTTCAGGTCTACCTTGAGGTATAAGGCTAAGCAAAATTTGTTTCCTATATTGTCTTAAAGGTTCTTCAGATAAAGGTTGGAGCACTTCATCAATAAACCGAGGCAAATACTTATCATCCCACCTTACCAATGACAGCAAAGTGACCAATCTGTCAGTGTTGTTGTGTATTCTCAATTCATGCTTAAGAACTTCTAAATATAACACTTGAATTTTATCCACATTTTTTTTGTTTTCACATGCTTGGTCCTGTATAAATAGTAGCACTTGTGATGCAGTCACTGGATTGCTTCTAAGATTTTTTCTAAAAAACTCAGTTGTTTCATCGGACATATCTTTACATTTTTTTGATTCTTTAGCATCATAGAAAATTAGCAATATCTCCTGAAAAAAATATATATACATTTTAAGCCATAAATTTTTTCTATTTAATTGATATAAAAAAGATGTTTGGGAGTTTTTGGTAAAAGTAATATTTTAATAAAGTTGAAACATACAAAGTCTACACTGCACAGCATTTAAAAATTGTTTGCTTTACATTACATGAAACATATAAGTGAATATGACAGATAATATAAAACATATGATACTGAAAGCAGACTGTAGAAATGCAATGTGAGGAACAAATTACAACTGCAATTAAAATTGCAAACTGAGGAACAAATTACACCAATTGGTGTAATTTTTTCCTCAGTTTCAGTGCACTAGTGTCGTATCTACCACTTATTTGTATATAATATAATTTTTAATTTTTTTTAATATAATTGGTTGAAACTGTTTAAATTGTTTTTGTCTTAGTACAGTTGTAATGGTATTGTAATTTCACAATACAATGTCAATGCAATACATAAATCCTATTTTAATATCATCTTCAGGTGGGATAGTAGTAAAGCTGACTAGATTGTAAGTTCCAAAAAAAAAAACAATGGATAACATTAACTATTTGAATAGTCAGTTGAAAAGGTTAGTAGTTAGTTCTATACCTTTTCGGACTATCTTGAAATCCTTGGTAAAATGAAACACAATAAAACCCTTTTTTCATTAAAATTGCTGATGTTGAACTACTATAATATATATGTTTTGTATAAAAAAGTCATGTGCTTCAAATTTGATAGAAATACTCACATCAAACACAGTTTCACTTAAATCATCAAGGAGATTAAGGAGATATTTTAATTCTTCTTCCCTCATTTTGCAGCCACTAAGTCTTCTAGAATAAAAAAATCAGTTGGAAATAATTAATAACATTGTTTTAAATCTGGAACATTCAATGCAATTATGTTAACAGATAATGCCAAGTACTTGATTACGACTATGACCACAAACCAATAAATTTTGTTTTGATTTATTATGTCAATATAATGAATAACAGACAAGGGCTTGATAGTGTTTAGAGTAGGCAGTTTTAGAGGAAAACCTTCAGTTGTAGCTTCCATAGCAATAATTAATATGCTAAATTGTATATAATTTTTAAAGTCTATAATTTTTCACATTTTTATTAACAACAATTTAATTTTACTAATATTTGAATTTATTTTACATGCGGCTCATAGAATATATTTCTTTCTTTTAAAGAATCAATATATATTATAAATTTCATCTGTCGCAACTGTTTCAAAACAAACATGATAGATTCACAAATTAATGTATTATTTTTACTACAGTGCAAGTTAATATTTTATAAAATGAGTTATAATAACATAATCGTCAAAACTTTTTTACTTTGAAAATAATTTAGCACATACCCTCTACCTACACCTAATTCGCATTTGACAAATGATTAATTTAAAGGGCCAAACCCTTTGTCGCCAGTTTTAATATTAGTTTTTATTGAAAGTACACTAGGCAACTTTTAAGTTATTTCTCAGTCCCCATTTATAATCATTATATGGAAGAAACTTTATGAAGTTTAGTATGATGTAGTCAATTTGGAGATTAAGTTGAACGATGATATGGACAAAAATGTTTAGTTTCGAGTAACTTTTGAGTGAACGACAATATTCGTATTATTAACAAAAAACAACACTTTGTTGTAGAAATTTGTACCATTCAACAAGAAGGATAAATTTTAGTTGGGCGATATCATAATCAACAATCATTAACAAAACCTAGCACTAAAAGATGAAAGAGTGACCAAAGCATTCATATATCTACTGCCATGAACTACATTGGATCAAATAGCAAAAATCACAAAAAATATTTTTTTTGCCAAGGGTTGCATTAATTTCGATCGAAATAATAAATTGCATAATCTTACCATATGATATTACTAAATAAATTACACAACTGCTAAGTAAACTCTACTGACTAATGAGTAAAATAGGTGTATTATGTAGGAAAATATTACAAAATAAACAACCATGTTGACATTGACAAATTATGTCACAAAATAAAATACAATATTACAAAAACAGAAATCATAGATTATAATATTGGTAAATAGTATAGATAAAGAATTAACGCACCCAGCGTAGATTTAAGGTAGTAAGTGTAGATTTAAAGGGTCTGGAGGCCTCGGGACGACAAAGGAGTGGAAGCCCCTTGGTTCCAAATTATTTTCCGAATAAAATGAACCATTTTTTTCAGTCGAGTATTCAAATCATTACAGTACATTCTAAATCTATGATTCAAATAAATAATTTATTGTCAAACCAAGTATAGATTATTTTATTATTTAATGAACATATTATTATAATCGGAAACAAGAATTATTTAAAATTTAATTTTAGCGTTAACGAAAGGACCTTTCCACGCTTTTTTCGCCTAAAAACCGTTGATGATTTCGCTAAAATCCGTTTCCCAAAGAAAATCATTTTCAATGCTCAAGAAAGAGAGAAAGAGAGAAAGCTTTTGGGGTGGTAGGGCCACGCAGCAGCGTCGGGTGTTGCACGAATGGGCAGGCCCGTCCGGGTAAGTACCACGACCTCACAGAACGCCAGCGTAAAGTGGAATTATGACAAATACTTTCGCATTTCCTCTGGTGAGTGAGGTAGCCAGAGCCCAATTTTCAAAAGGTTGTCAACGCATCTGTAACCCTCGGGTGTGGCAGATGTCCATGGGCGGCGGTATTCAATTAACATCAGGTGAACCGTCTGCACGTTTGACAACTTTTCGCATAAAAAAAGCTTAGATAGACGGTTTTGTCCCATTGTAGTTTGAATCCTATTTTTTATTATTTTCATTTTTGAAAATGTGCGCTCTCTAGTGCATTTACAATTTACTCCCTGAAGATGGGGAGTAAATTGCAAGTACTTATCAGGGCCTTTTGAGATTTTGATATTTTACTGATTGTCTGATCGGGTTCAAATATTAATCGAGGATTTCTGTTAAGGCGCTGTATGCAGTGAATTTTTAACTATTAGGGTGATGAAGCTAGCCTCAGAACTCGCGCCAACGGATTGTCACTGCGTTCCTGCCAAGCTTCGAAGCCTGGCTTAGTGACAGGGGATTTGCGCACGTCACCTTTCGTCTGACGCAGGTACTCACCGGGCACGGATGCTTTGGTGAGTACTTAAATAGAATTGGACGCGAACCGACAGCGCAATACCACTACTGTGGTGGGGACCGGGACTCCACGCAGCACACGCTTGCTGAGTGCCCCGCATGGGAGTCAGAGCGTCGGACCCTGGTCCAAAAGATCGGGCATGACCTATCTCCACCAGATGCAGTGGCGGCTGCGCTGGTGGAGAAATCCGCTTGGATGGCACTGGTCTCCTTCTGCGAAGCTGTTATGCTCCAGAAGGACATCGCTTAGCGGGAACGGGAGTGGGCTGACCCCGCTCGGAGACGAAGACACCGGGTCGGTAGAAAGGACGAGACACCCCGTCAGCCCTGTAGTCTCGGGCTCGTAGAATAGAACTAAGGTATCACCTGCCTGTCGTAAAAGGCGACTAAAATGGGACACGGATTGACGGATTGGACGCCGAGACCACTTCGTACTGCTGCAAGACGGCGAGGGAATTGGGGAAGGTTTAGCCTTCTCCGAGGCATGCTCAGGCGCAGTATTGAGGGACACCGGTGCGTTCCGTAGGAGATCCCGGAGTCCCTCCAAAGGTGCAGAAGGTGGTCACCGAGAGGGTTTTAGTGGGTAGGAACCCCACATAACCCTGTCATATGACAGGTTATCTATTGAAAATTTACCCCTCGATACCAAAAAAAAAGGATGATGAAGCTAGGGGAAGTGGAGGACGGGTAACCCCGCTTAGCGGGGCGCACCGCGCGAGTTTCATCGATGCACCGCGTGACTTTCATTCATTCCTTATATATCTTATTTAACTAGATAATACGTTAAAATAAAACTTTTAATGTATTAAATACCTTTTTTCTATTGTTAGTGTCGTTTTTTCTACAAACGTAGAATAAGGAGAAAGGTAAAATTTTTGAAAAGATTTTTATCTCTTTACGCCAAAGAAGTATAACTTCACACATTTTTTTTTATTCGTTTAATGAGTTTTTAATTATAATTAAAAATTTGTATCCTACAATCCTCTATATAAACTATAAGTTTGGAAAATTTCATACCTAACAGCTCAATTTAAGTAAAAAGTTGTACAAAGGTTTTGCTTCATGTATTATATAGATAATAAAGCTCGAGCCATCAGTCTGTTATTGTTATCACCGGTTTGGAAGGCCGCCAAGCTCTTCGGTCGCTTTGGTGGACGCTCAATGGAGTAACTAGGCGCAAAGGCCCCCGAGACCCATGGTTTGGGCTAGTACTCAATGTCCGTTTAGCATTCAGATTCAAGGGTACACGAGAGGATCGGCCACCTTTGGCCACTTAATACCGTAGACATGTCGACCGAGCGGTCGAAGAATAGCTAAGTTATTTTTAATGAGCCATGTTACTTTTCTGTACATATTTACGTTAAATAAATTTTGAGCAAAACAAGTTAATAATGGTTACAATTTTTCGAATACACGGTGATACATAATACATTTTTTTTATGCTTTTTATGGCTGAGTCATGATCGCGATCGTATTTTTCTTCAAGACGAATATAATTTCACTTCTTCTTCTATAATTTTCACAAATGACTTATATTATAAAAGTAATGTAATGTACCCTGTTCGAAGAAAATGACAGTTTGGAAGTGGTTATCTTCTGTGATAATTTTTTTTTTTTTTAACCTACATAACCTAAGTCCGTATATATGTATTATGTCTTATATATTTCAGTATATATATGTCTTATCTATGGTCCTAACCTAAAATATGACAAAAAAGTTAGGTTCAGCAGTCGTCTCATCTGTTTGGCTGGCCCTCCTACTTGATTATTAAGTTAGGAGGGGGACGTTATTATTTTTTTTTAAAACATTAGACATATAATTTTATTATTTACAGCATTCTGTAATACACTTACATTTTATTATGAAGTTCAAAGTAATAAGTATTGTGGAACAAGTGCAAACGTTATGCCGTAACTCTGTCAGCTATATCAATGGTTTCAATAAAACATACTGTACATTTGCATTAAATCCTACAGTTCTTAAACAGCCCCGAAATAAAAATAAGTACAATTTAAGACTTACATCTGCGTTATGTGATTATTCGTCAGATAGTAGAAAACACTTTTTAAATATAGAAAAGAAAGCAGAAAAGTTTAAGAATGCATTTGAACAAAAAAAGGAGCAAATCAAAGAAACTGAATACAGAATACGACAAAAAGGCGTTAAACTAGTTAAAGACATCAAACAACAAAAGGAAATTACTGGGCACAGAATACGAGAGAAAAAGGATTACATTATTAAAGATATCCAGGAAACTAAGGCTAAAGTAAAAGAAAAAATTGAAGAAGTTGTGGAGGTCGTGTTGTTAATAGTTGTATGGTATAAATTTTTTATTTCCTAAAATTATTAATTATAGTTTATTAAATTTTAGAGGGAAAATGTATTCACCATTCCTAATATTTTGTGTGTGGCGCGAATTGTTATGTCACCTTATTTAGGCTATGTTATTCTTGAAGATAATTATAACTTAGCCTTAGGCTTATTAACATTCGCAGGAATTACTGATTTGGTAAGTATGCTGCTCAATTTTAATATCTATCTCAAAAAAAAATTGATAGTTATGCTATGGGAACTAACATATTTATTTCTTAAATTTTACAAAATTATTATCAAATACAAAGAGTGGGTGTTGTATGAATAAACTTTACAATATAAATGATTAAGCCGACATATGATGTTATGCACTACATTGTTGTGAACAGCATTATATTCAAGAAAAAATATACTTGCTAAAAGATAAATGTTTAGCATTACTACTATGTAATGATTGCTGTATATTGTTAGGAGTACTGATAAAACAAGATAATATCAAGTATTCATTTATTTGTAAATTTATACTGTAATGAAAGGAAAAATTTTGTTTTTTTTAATTAATTCCCGGTTTGTTCTAGAGATTTAACCTATTTAATGTTAAGCCAATCGGAATCGATTTAAGACAAAATAAAATAGACAAACTTATATTTATCAGTTTTATGCAAGCAGTAGTAGTACATAGCTCATTTTAGGCATCCTCCTTCAAGAATCCCATTTAGGAAGCAAATATTACCATACCCATTGTTACCTAAATATCAAAAAGAGTTTTTAATTTCATTTGAATTAGAAACTATAATTTCTTGGACTTTAATAATTTGTTTCCAGTTTATATTCTCCTAGATAATTTTAGAGAATATAAATACTATTATAAAATGTACCTAAAATAATTTGATAATTGAGTTAGTAAAAATATCTTCCCTTTTATAAATTTCTTTTCTTCACATTAATATAATCCAAATTCCTTCACTTTTGTTTACAGCTTGATGGGTGGATTGCTCGAACATGGAAGGGTCAGTCAACAAAAATGGGTTCATTCTTAGACCCCATGGCAGATAAAGTTCTGATAGCTACTTTATTCATATGTCTTACATGGCAAGAGTTAATACCACTCTCACTGACTTTGCTAATAGTTGCAAGGGATGCTGCATTAGTGACTGCTGGTTTTGTTATAAGATATAAAAGTCTACCTCCACCTGTAAGTTAGATTACATTTCATTATCAGTCTGCATTATTATGATAATTTTAAAGTAGTGTATAAATCAAATATCTCATTTGGTTTGTAAATGGTAAAATCACACCTATCATGAGTTATATGCATTGTACGATGAAATGGTCATGGACCAACAGACAGTGGGACAACTTTGTTTTATACTATGTAGTGATTAAAGATCTCTTATAGCATGTTTCTAATTAAATGTTTTGTAGTTTATACTGCGTGTCGTTACAACGGCGACAATAAATGAACACGTCTAATGCTACTTGCAAATAATCATAAAAAAAATATTAACGTTAACAGAAATACATAATTAAAAAAATATATTTTTCAAACAAAATAATTATTTATTACTAAAAACATAAAATTATGCACTGAGTTGTCAAAATATACCTATAACATCTGTAATGGCACCAATAAATTATTTCAGAGAACCTTGAGCAGATATTTTGACGTGACGCACGCAACGGCGCAACTTGCTCCTACTTTCATAAGCAAAGTCAACACTGCAATACAATTGTTATTGGTAAATATTTTTAATTAATTAGTAGAAACTATAAAGTTTTGAAAGTTAAAAGTATGAGATGGCAAGGCAATCAAGTCGCCTGCTATAATTAATTTACATCAATCCTTCATATAAGAAGTGCGAGACTCTCGACTCGCGTACGAAATTACCTATTTCAAGTACCATTATCTATAAAAACGTCAAAAATCTTGTTTGTTGTATGGGAGACCAACTTCAATATTTTTTTTATTTTATTGTTTAGTATTTGGTGTTATAGCGGTAACAGAAATACATCACCTGTAAACATTTCAACTGTCTAACTATCACGGTTCATGAGATACAGGCTGGTGACAGACAGTGATGTTTTAGTAGAAGGGTCCCGTATTACCCTTTGGGTACAGAACTCTCAAAACGAGTTTTCATGTAATGCTATGAAATCAAATAAGTGTATAAATATTAACACAGACTGGAAAATGATGACATCAATAAGAATTTTCAGCTTTACTTATGTTTAGCACAAAGATATTTTGCATGCCTGTTGGTATACATTATATCCACAAACTATCTTATATGATGATTATTACTAGTACATAATTATATTAATTAAGTAATTTTATCATGGAGGTTTCCTTTTGAAAGTACACAATTGCATCTCTTGTTTCAGGTGGGTACTACACTTGCATCACCTGTATTTGATTACATCCATCATCCTGCTTTGCAAGTCCTCTGTGGAGTAACTGCTGTGTCTACCATTGTATCTGCTGCCAGTTATATGATTAGCAAGGATACATATAAAATTTTTAAGAACAAATTATGATCTGTCCTTTCCGACCATAGTCTTCAATATTAAGTTTTAATTACTGCAGTCTTATTGAGAAATTGTACAAAAATGTAAATAAACAAAGTACTGAAAAAAAAAAGTTTTATTACAATTTAAACAAGGTTATCAAGTTGTTCCATTGACATCTATATATAGACATAAATGTTGTCTTGTCTGAGTCATTACTTGTACTTGACCTAGAAGTGTAATAAGTAAATGTAACATACCTGGGCTGATTTTTAATAAAAAGATATTAACTGGTGCAGATCCTTAAAATAATCTTGTAGGAGATATCCAAACCAATATTGCTTAAATTCAATATATCAGCAAAACATTATTAAACTATACAAATTGGCAAAATAACAGCCTCACCTTCACCTCATATTTACAAATTCAATTTTTGAAACACAAAATGATCAGGGAATGTTTTGAATGTGGAACAAGGATACAATAATTAGATACAAAATATTGATCAATTTATTTCCTCATTCTATTCACATGAATAAACATTCAGTAAAAAATAGTGAAATTATAAAAAAATATTAATATAATACAAAATTATACTAAGGGTAAATAAAAGAATAACTTAAAATATGTTTGCCAATTATCTGCATATGCTTTTGGATAATGTGTAAGTGATACAAGTAAAAATATTGGAAACTGACACTGTTAAATTCAAATCGAATATTTTGAATTAGACAAATATTTTGTCAATAAAGTGCTATAAAAATAATAACAATGTGGAATGTTGAAAATAATTTCTGTTTACTAACTTTTAGTATAATTCACCAATTGTCATGTTTCAAAGTCAGGAAAATTTTATGTTAATGACATGAAAGAAAATTAAGAACAATGAAAAAGAACTTTAACACTGTACCATCAGGCATAATCCTGTAGAAATACACAAGCCTCAATTTGCCTGATGGTATCTTAGTTATTTATAATTCACCAAAGGTATACTGATTATATTCATAATCAAATATTGGACACCAAATATGTTATTTCTAAGTTATTAATTACTAGTAAACATTACACTTATAAATCTCATGAAAATTACGCAATAAATGATTTCAGCATTACAAAGTGGACTAAATGGATGGTGATGGTTAATCTCTGTAAAGGCACACACACTATATATGCTTGTTCTTTATGTTAATAAATTAAATGTTAATATTAAATACATCATTTTTATGTATCTTACTTTTTGGTATAATAGTTGTATCAAACTGAACATTGTTGGCAATTACTCTTAATTGATAAGCTGTAGGATTAAAGTAATGAGTGATGAATTGCACAAGTCCCCTCTCCATGATAAGGGGACCACATGCTATATTTTATTAATACAGTAAGCTAGCTAAGGCATCTTAATGGCTTAGCTAATAAATGGGAGACTAGAAGGATGAAACCAGTTAAATTTAGTCTTCATTTTAGAAACATTACTACTCTAGAATACATACTGATGCCTTACTTTTACCTAGCACTAAATTGCTTGTATTTATAAAAGATGCATTAAAAATAATGGTACTAGAAAGGAATACATACATATACTATCCTATTACTTTTACATACAATTATAAATCATAATTATTATGGCAGCTAATGTTCAAGTAGCTCTTATAAAATTATATACTCTATAAACAATATTTAATAACTAGCAGTAAGTGCAGTCAGACAAAATTATAAAAAATAATCATCTTTAGTAAACAAGAAAACACTTGACAAGACCAAATAAAACGCTAAATTGATACTTCTTCAAGGATGTATGAATTATTTATCAATAGTATTTAATGTTTTTTATATTTGTAATATATTAAACTTTATCAAACACTGTATGGAAGCATATATATAACCAATGAAAAATAATACTCATGTTGGATACAGAAACTTTAAGATCAGCACCAATGGTTTTCCAACAGTTATCAATAACATAAAGCATTATAACAAGAAGTAAAAGTCGCTTTCAAAAAAAAAACTTAAAATTATGCAATTTTTCAATAATTAAACACTGACACAGTTGATTGCACAAATTGTTGGAAATAAATAAAAATATGAGAAAGATTTGGTGGCCATAGTACTTTCTAATAATTAAGCATTATGAGCTCACATTTATGAGTTAACATATTCATGTATTGTTAGTCCAATATTTAGCATGCAAATACAAATGCATGTAAGGTAAATGAAAATGAAATTATTATGGTCTATTGAATACAATACTTAATAAAGTATTATCTGTTAACCAACCTTATTGATAAGCTCATCACAAATAGCTGTGAGTTCTTCATTATCTTTTATTTTCTGTGCTAAAGATTCTTGTAATGAAGAAGCATGAACTTCACTCTTTTTCAGCATGGCATTTAGCTTGAGAATTTCAGCTTGGTGAGCCTTCTTTACCGAGTCAAGTTCTGCATTAGCTTTATTTAATTGCTGCATTGCATGCTGTCGTAATGTTTCATACCTAGCCTCCAATTTTTGTATGGCATCATTATTCTCTTCTACTGTTCTCTTTAAAGTTTCTTCATTGCTTTTATAGCCTTGAATTATCACTTTACATCTCTCATATTTAGTGTGCACATCATTAAATGCATGTTCCATTGAAGCTAAATGAGCAGCAGCTTCATCCCTCTCTCTGAGTAATGTAGATCTCTCATCTGTCCATCTTTTGGTTTCTGCTTCTCGTTCACCTATGAGTGATGATATTGTACGTTCATATTCTTCCATGACCACACTCATTTGTTTATTATTTCTTACTTTTTCTGCTACACGCTGTGAGAGAGTTTTCTCTTTTTCTGCATATTCTTCATTTTGCTCATTTAATTTTTTAATCTTTATTTCACATTCCTCAAGTCTGTCTCTTAATTCTCTGTTAATGTCTCGTAAGCTTTGAGCTTCTTCTTCTTGGGCTGTTAACATTTCTTTAACAGCTCGAAGCTGTTCCATTGTATGGGGATCCATGTCAGATGCAGCTCTAGTTATAACAGGGGGAGGTGGTGGCACACTGGCACCCAGACTTAAAAGACGGTCAATTGTTGCTATTGCTGGAGAAACAGTGGTTGATTTCACAGGAATAATTTTTGATGCAGAAGATGGCTGGCTTCTATTAATAGCTGGAGTTACAACTTGAGTTGGTTTTTCAGGAGGGCCACTATTACTAGATTGCACTGACAATTGTTGCATCGAGTTCAATATACTTTGCTCTGTACTTGACATCGTACTATAAACTGTCGCAGCTTTCTCCAAAATCTACAGTTTTTGGATAATTTTTTAAGACATGGTCTCCTGAAATTGGAACAATAATTTAATCAATTCAAGGACAGCTATGCTTAGTCACACAACGAAAAAGCATTATGTGTCCAATTGGTTTATCTTTAAAATTTATGACACGGTAAAAGTTACTCACTGGCAATATATGTTGATATAATTTAAATAATTGTAAACATCCCACGCATTGAAGAATGAATTGAACAAAGTATTATAACATCGTATGAGTAAGTATTCTTTTCGCTAACACAATTTAATCAAAGACGTGACACTTTTCGAATTTTCGAGCACTCAAGAGTTATTTAAAAACCTAGCACAATAATTGTAGAGTGAGATAATAAACATTGAAATAAAAATTTAATATTCGTCGCATGGATGACATCAGTCTCGTCCACAGATGGTATAGACCATAGATAATACATATAACATACTGCCATATGCTGCCATAGATGAAAGTATTTTTTGTTGTCCACACTATCAAAGGTGTAGGAGAAACGATACTTGATTTTTAAAAAGTTTTGTTCAAAAAAGTGTCGTCAGACAGAGGTCCGCAGGCAGATGGCCTATGGACTTAGGAGAGCAATTTAGCTGGTGCATGATGACTTAGGAACCTTAAAGAAGAGAACCTACTCCTACCTCAAATGTCGGCAACGCAATTGTGACTCAGGTGACCCGTTTGTTCGTTTGCCTCCATTTTCCATAAAAAAGACGATATGATATCGCTGTTAGCTCCCATATATCTCTGCGGCCCCTGGCCTCTGTTGTTTGTTTATATAATAGCCGTGATAAATGGTGATCGTATCCAGAGAAAGTAATAAGGTCAAAATTTTATCCTAACAGCGCATCGTTACAAGGACCTTTGGAAAATCTTGTATTTACATAAATGGTTTATTAATTTATTCTCTCTCTCTCTTCCAAACTATATATCCCATATGGTGGTGGGGTCAGCCTTCCTTACTTTTTCTTTCCACTTCGCTCTATCGTCGACATGTTCCTCGGACACTTGACATTCTACCATGTCCCTTAGCACTACATGTTTCCATCTTTTTTGGGCCTACCTCTGGATCTTTTTCCAGGCACAGAAAGTTGCAGTGCTAAGTTTCTTACGTAGTTTGGTGGCCTCCTCTTTACATGCCCGTACCACCGCAGCCTACTCTCCTGCATCTTATCGGCGATGTCGCGTACCCCTAGGCTTCCTCGTACGTACTCGTTACGCATTTTATCTAGCCTGGTAACGCCGCACATCCACCTCAGCATCTTCATTTCAGCTACTTAGATGGCACGGACATGTTTTCGAGTTACGGCCCACGTCTCACTGCCGTACATTAGAACTGGCCTTATGATGGTCTTGTAAATCAAGCCCTTGAGTTTAACCGGCATTCTTTTGTCACATGTAACGCCAGTCACTTCGCGCCATTTCAGCCATGCAGCGGCTAGTCGTTGTTGAATGTTGTATTCCAAATTCCCAGAATTGTGCATCATCGTACCCAGATATTTATAATGATCGCACATGGTAACCAACTGCCCATCGATGGTAATCGGGCTATCGTCACAGGGATTTGGTTCGTTCAGGGCCATAAACTGAGTCTTTGCAACACTCAACACAAGGTCACCGCTCTGTAACTGGAGCTTCCATGCGACAAGGGCCTCTTGTAAGTCAACACGGCTCTCAGTGCAGATAGCTACATCGTCAGCGTATATGAACGTCCACAATGCTGAATTTTGCGCTGCCTCGGTGAGTGAGTCCAAAACCAAGCAAAACAAAAACGGACTGAGTACTGAGCCTTGGTGTACTCCTTCTGTGACCGTTATAGGTTTCGTTTTACACACTACTGTTCGTACAACCGATCTTGCATCCTTATACATGTCGGCGATGATGTTAACATATTTTTCGGGGACATTCTTCTTACGAAGACTCCACCAAATAGTACTTCTTGGGACCCGATCAAATGCCTTTTCCATGTCCAGGAACGCAAGATACAGTGGATGGTTTTTGGAGCGATATTCCTCAGCTATTGAGGTCAGTGCAAACATGGGATCGGTGGTTGACAAGCCAGGTACGAAGCCATAGTGATTTTTGGACAACGAACACTCAGATCTTAAGCGGCTGTCAATCACTCTTTCATACAGCTTCATAGTGTGACTGAGAAGCTTGATTCCGCGATAGTTATTGCACTCGTACTTGCTACCTTTACCCTTGTAAATCGGAACTATCGTGCTCATCCTCCATGCTTTAGGCATTTTAGAAGAGAACAACGCACAGTTAAAGAGTGTGGTTAGCAGTGCGATTCCTTGACCGCGTAAGCATTTCCAAGCTTCGGCTGGGATACCATCAGGTCCTATGGCTTTCTTATTGGACATCTTCTGAAGAGCTATTTTTACTTCATTTGGTTGTATCGGAGGTACAAGGACCTCATTGCAGTTTAATTCTGAAAGCAGTGTATTAGCTGGCATAGGGTTCAGTAACTGTTCATAATATCGATGCCACGACAATATCACGTCTGTATCTCTGTATATTAAGTCGCCATTTGGGCCCTTGATAGTTTCACACCCAGCAGGATCTCGTGTGCTCCTACAACGCTGTTTTGCGAGCTTGTAAATCTGTTTTTGGCCTTCTTTACTATCTAACTGCCTGTATAGGTTTTTTTCGGAGTTTGCTTGTTCGACAACTATGACTTTTTTAGTGTCTTTTTTAATTTTCCTGTATATTTCTCGATCTTCAGGTGTTTGGGTGAACTGCCAGGTCTTAAAAGCTAGTTTCTTTTTCTGAACTGCACTTTGCACTTCTTTGGTCCATCTCCACGTTTATTTGTTATTTCTTCTCCCTCCTTTTGTACGACCGAGAATCTTGTTTGCCGCAGTTATAATGGAGTTTCGCAATTGCTCCCACATGGTGTCAACGTCTAAATTTTCATTCAATTCAAGGTTGGCGAGATGTCCACAGAACTCGGTAACTTTTTCGCCTTTTAAGTTCCACCACTTGGTAAGTTCTGGCATTTTAGCTGGTTTTTCCTTAATTGCTTTCCTAAAGTTCATGTCTATTACCACTTTGCGGTGCTGGGGTGTAACGCATTCTCCGGGAATCACCTCACAATTAGTTACTCGGCCAATGTGAGCTCGATTTGTTAAGATATAATCTATATCTTAACAAATCGAGCTATATCTCTATTTATGTTCTGCATTCTTAGTAAAGAATGAGTTTACAATGACAAGATCGAAAGCTGTTGCTGTTTTGAGAATAACCTTGCCAGCATCGTTCAGAGTGCCATATGCGTTACCTCCGTGCACTCTTTTAAAAGCGTTGTTTGCTTCTCCAATGTGGCCATTTAGATCACCGCCTAATAAGATGGTATCTTTTGTAGGTACATGTTGGAGTATACCTTCTAGAGTTGTCCAAAAATTATCCTTCTCTTGTTGGCTACAACCTACTTGGGGGGCATAGGCGGATATAATATTGAGAACCTCTCCTTCGACCAGTACTTTTAAAGACATGTCTAGACTAAAACTCCAGAATAACTCTTGTTTTATCACGAAAATTAATGAAACTTATTTTATTCCCTAAATTTTTTGAAGACTTTTACTTTTAACCAAATTTAACTTATCGTGATAAAACAAGAGTTATTCTGGAGTTTTTAAGAATTGCGGTAGATAGCAGTACTATTCAGGTTACCTATAAAAAAAAAAAGAAAAAAATATTTAAAAAATTGTGGTCATGGTAGTGAAAAATATCATAAACGGTCTCAACTTCTGAAGAATTTCATTTTTTTTATATAACTTAAAATATATTTGGGATATATTTTTTTTTCTTTTTTTCCCCGATTAGTCCGGGGCAGGTCTATCCTCCGGTGTTGGCTTATCGTTGAATTTTGGGACACGTTGTATGTCCTGGGTAGAACATCGTGCGGGATTTTAGTCAGTTAGTTTTCCTTGGAGAAGAACTCGCCTTTTCTCCACTTAAGGCGCCCTGGACAGTCGAGTTCATTACCCTTAAGTCGTAATACCGACGCTCCGGTATATGCACGACACGACGGCATTTCAAGGCGAGCATTCTACAATACTCATTTTGCCCTTGCCTTTCTTACTCTGCATCTCTGAGGCTCCGATGTAGAACTCGCATTTTTCATGCTCGACAAATTATTTTCTATAAGGGTTAACTAAATCTAAATAATATACAATCTTATATAAGGAATCCTTAAGCACCATCAGCAGAAGAATAGGTAATAGTAACCCCGACAAGTGGATATTTGAATGGAGCGACCATAAAAAAATTTCACAGATTCAGTCTTTTTGGAAAACCGATCAGTCAATTATAACGTAACAGACCTGCCAGAAAAACTTAGCGACTTTAAGATAAACGAAGAATCTGTTGTCAAGTAATGCTAAGACTCGTCGTGCCTACGCTTGTATTTTTATCGCAGACATCATAAGATAGGTTGAGAGCAAAAAATAATGATATGATTCCTACGATATAACGAATACTGCCCCAATTACTCCGTAGCGCAGTTACCAAGGTATTGGCTTCGGGTTCGGGGGTCGTGGGTTAGTTTCCTACATGGAACAGCCATTTGTGTGACCCACAGATAGTTGTTTCGCATCTGGGTGTTTGTTCGCGAGAAATTAATGTTTGTAAAACGTCTTTACAACGCAGGATAATATTATCCTAAAGTAATGTTTTTTAAAAGGGAATGTTTTTAAAATGAAATTACAAAAAAATAATCAAAAGGCCATTTTAGCTCATTACAAATTCAAACTGTTCAGGGTTTTAACGTAAAGTTTTGACATACAAACAGACAGAAAATCAATGAAGTACCTTCTATACAAGTTTCTGACTATTTCATGAGTAGTAGTTTATAAAAGATGAATGTCGCAAAGGCCGGAGCAGAGCTCGGTCCTCCAACTACTATGTAATAAATACCTTACATTTAACTAATAATTAAAATTAAGTATATGATATATATAAGAAATATTAATATAATAAATAACGACAGATTTATAAATTATTATATATATTTATTTATATTTTATAATTTATTCTATTTTCTACAGTTAAAATTATACTCCTACTATATATTTATCAGTTTTGTACATTTCATAAGCAAACTCCTCATCATGGGTTGGATCAAACTCCAGACCTGAAACATTAAAGAAAAATTAGAGAAAAAAGAAAAAAGTAAGCGTATAGTACGATCCAAACTGAAATAATATGTAGCAAAAGTCAATAGGGGCTGAAGATGAGGAAATTCATTTTTTAAAAATTTGTTTAATTTTAAATACCTATCACATAAAAACGTCACCAAGCTTTAGCGAGTTTTGGGAAAGAATTACATTCTCGTAATGGACACCCAAATAATGAGCGCTATATGAACTCAATAATTATTAACTCCGTCACCTCGAGGTATCGCCTCGCTCACAAGGTGTTCATGTCCAGGTGGCATTTAATATCCCTGTGACTACACCTTGTGCTGGCCCCGAGTAGGTCACTTGACTCTTTCCTGCGTTCATCATCGGATAAGATACTATAAGAGATACATGATTCGAGCTTAAGACGTTCGCTTATTAACTACTCTACAATTCTCTTAAGAATTCGAACCACCGGGCGTTCACTCGTCGGAAATGTAACATTACCGCTAGGGCTCGGAGACGGTCACGAGGAGACTCTGAGCGAAGTGGCAGTTGGCTGGGGTGATAAGTGAGTGACGGCCTCAATCGTTTCCAACCCACTAAATATTTTTATACAGCTGATTTTGTAAACGGAACTTAGGAGATGGCTTGGATGAGGTAGTTTTGTTAAAAGCCCATTACATTCGGGCACAATTTAAATTTCGCTCCACTTTAGCAGTATTGTGAATCTTACCAATATACTCAATTTCTAGATTGAATGGACCATTTATCTTGTCTGCGCACGTTATACCGAAGTGTGTTACCCTGTCAAATCTCATTCTGTTTTGTTTATCTTGTATTCGTCCCTTTGATCCCAATATGAACTTTGAAAATGGTATCTGAAAATGTATTAGATACCAAACGATTTGTGAGTTTTAATCAGTATAAGTTAAATTATGCAAAAAAATTAGAAGAGATTTTTTAAAGTTGTAGACGAGTAAACAGGTCCAACGCGCAATTATCAAAAAAGTAAAAAACATGTCCCACAGCTGGGCAAAGTCCTCCTTGATACAGAGGGGTACCAGGGCATAGTTCACCACACGGCCACACTGCTGATTTGCGGAGCTATCACGGCTTTATTATTATCCCAAGACAACTTGAAAACATATTTATAATATTAAAATATATGTAAATAAATAAAACATCTTATATTACGAGGGAAGTCTCCGAAGTCCCCGACCTGACATGTAGAAAGGTGTTTTATTTTAAGAATTTATTATGAAAGAAAGCACCAAACATATAAACCAAGTTACAAGTGTTAAGGCGGTACGTTGTTTAATATTTATTATTGGCAGTCATCAATTGTGAACGCTTTCAGTGAATTTGTACCTATGGACAAAATTTCTCGTCGTTATGTAATACACTACATTTGAAAGGTTTGACTCCAACTATTATCAAAGCCGAACTAGATTTTACTATGGGATTCTGCTCCTTCATTTCAACTGAAAAATATTTGGTGGCAGAGTTAAACAAGGCTGTACCAACCGGCAAGGTCGACCAACAGAAATTAAAACAGATTAAAAAAAAGTGAGTGAATACGAGTTTGCTCTTGTTTGTGAACAGGATAGAAAAAAATTGCGTTGTGAGGATTTTAATGGAGTATTTGGCGATGTTTCTCAGCATCTTCATCTTATAGATGAACCATCATATGTCCACAAATACACATATGATATGAAGGAATAGTCAAAACAATAGACTAAAAGGATAGAAATGCCTCCAAAGAATGCGAAGTTATATTCATTTGCAATAGCGTCAGATTTTCAGGATGCTTCCGAAAACTGTTCACTATCTTCAAAAAGGCAAAGGTATCAATTGTCAGTATTGGAAGAATTTTTCATTACAGACAGGTATTTTGAGCAGCTCAAAAGATATCACTATTCAACGTCGCTGCCAAAAGAAGAATAGGTTGAGGTCTTTCTCAAGTTTATCGTGTCTCCTTTATTAGGTCGGATACTTCTTAGCCTAACCTACGTAGTAAATGTAATAAATTCGAAAATATTGTTAGATCTTGATTGATTAAACCATTGCAAACAAACCTTGGCAATTTGCCAATACGGTCCACCTCTTGTATACAGAACGTAATGATAAATATCATTCCAAGTTATGTCGTAATATCCTTCACAGGATATGTTGAGTAGATATGATCTACCATCACCTCTGACTTTTAACACAAGTGTGTTGTATAGATGCCAATCGTATGTCGTCTTACGTTTGAAGGATTTCTGTAAAAAAACGAGAACAGTTTTAGTTTATTTTCGCAAGATCTCGTGCCAACGTTAACGAAGCTGTATAATTGTTAACTATTCGAGCTTATTAACTTCTAAAGTGACGGCGGTGCTGCTAATGGAGAGTCAATATTTAAATAGACCATAAAAAGCATACTAATATTTATCTTACGTAGAGATTTATTTTTTTAGAATTGTGAAAATAGAAATCAAACTATGATAAAATTGGCAAGTCATACGTCGTAGTCAATCGTAGGTATTGTATTCAACAATTGAATCGCCCTGTTAAAATATTTTCAAATGTACAATCATAAAAAATTCATCATCAAAACCATAAAAATTAAAAAAGAGAAAAATGAGATATGAACTATGAAATCTTTCGGTTCTAGGAAAATATACTCTCAACTTGATTGCAAAACAGAACCGAAAATAAATTTCACTTCCTCGTTTTTAAACTCTACCGTTAGTTTATAGGTCATTGTATTTTTATCTTCCAGCGTAGTTATTCTTTAAGCCGTTCTGGAACCGAGCGCTCGTAAATTAGCCATTATGAGGTAATAAGAAACGAGAAAATATTGGGTAATGTTTACTCAAATCCCGGCTGAGGTGATAGGCTAGGCGGTTGCAACAACTTTAAGTCCGTCTACGTTTCGGTTACGCCTACATAAACTTGGTTTTTATGAAATATTTATGAAACTTGTTGTCATAAGTGATTTTTGCTTGAAAAAAATACGAAATCTCAAATTGTGAAATGAAACTATTTTACGGATTTTATCACGTTTAATTAGGTTTTTTAAATTCCCGCGCGTAAAATCAAGAAATCAATAAATCTTAAATTATTACTAGGTCTTTACCTATGAAATTGTCGTTTTTAACAGACTTCAAAAAGGAGGAGGTTTCTCAATTCGACCGTACATATTTTTTTTGTATGAAATAAGTTAAAGCATTTTGTTTCAAACTTTTTTATTTCTGACATTCAAAGTAATCACCCATGCATATGATGTATCTTTCCCAAAGCAGTGGTAGTTTATTGATGCCCTTCTTGTAAAAATCAGCTGAACGGGACGCAACAAACTCTTCTCTTTTTTACTGCCTCTCGGGGAATTGAATTTTTTTTCCCGCCTAAAAGTTGTCCAAATTTTGGAAAAAGTAATAGGCGGTAGGGGCAACGTCTCTTGAGTATGGTGGATGAGAGTGAGCTTCCAAACCCAAGTCTTGAAGGAGCAGCGTGAACGACCGATTGACCAACGCTCGTTGCAGATGTTGATGATGCTAGCTTCTCAATCATTGTCTTCTCCATTGTGTTTTGTAAAATCTGCGATGAATCACACCAGCACTAGTCCACCGAACAGAGACCATCGCCTTTATAAAGGTCATTTTTCGTTAAGGGCATCCTGGTTCAGCGCGAGGCAGCGTACGTTGCGCCGACGATCGTTAAGTTCGTGGGGCACCCATCTATCAAGCTTTTTTATCTTGCCAATTTGTCGCAAATGGACCAATATTGCTTTAATGATAACATCTAAATTTGCTGCTAACTATGCTCTAGATTGAGTATCATCAGCTTCCACAATCGCCTTTAATTCATCATTGTTGTGTCACACTTTGGTGTCTGGACGACCACGAGGTCAATTTTTCAAGTCAAATGTCCAGAACAGAACCGGGCAAACCAATAACGGGTTGTGCCTTCGTATGTAAAGTTCTCTCCGTAAACGTTGTTGATGTTATGTGCCGTTTGTGCCGCGTTGGTGCCACGACAGAGCTCATATTCCATAAATACACGCACCTATAAAGTATCCATTATGACGAAAGATGTTCACAAAAAAAAAAGTTTCTCGAGTGGCAGTCTCGTACTGCTCGTCGCAGTGTGGGCCCTAGATGGAGTGAAGACTTGAGTGCGGGAAGTCGATGATGCAGGTGGCTTAAGATCATGCTTCGTGACAATTGGTGGGGGAGACCTATGTTCAGCGGTGGACTCAAACAGGTTGAAATGATGATGAATGATAAAAAAAAAGAAAAAATATATTGAAAACTTACCCTGGCTCTTTTAGATCGCACGGCGCAGTATCCAGCCTTTTTAATTCGACCATCTTTAGGCACCCTGACATCGAGGCAGCCATGAAATCGTGCACGTCCTGCTGGGCTCATGTCAAAACTGCAAGTACTGTATCCCTCATTGTGATCACTGTCGCTTGTCGCCACAAACTTATCCAGGACACTTGGTTCATTGAAGCACCAAAGGAGATCTGTTTCACCTGAGTTTATTGAAATTTATTTGATTATTTTGCTTAATAACAACAATCAAGTTAAATAATGAACATATAAAGTAAAAATTTTATGAAGCTAACAAAATTGATATCAATTTCTAGAAATCTAATATACATCAAAATAAGAAACTATATTTAAATTGTACATAAAAAGTCAAAGAAGATAAATGGCAGCACTAAAAATATTTTTGAATTTGTTGTGCATGTTTATCACCTGAAGCAATGTAATTAAGAAAAGTTTAGTACTATTGAGGACAAATAAAAATATGGGTTATAGTTACTGTTAATAAATTTAATTCTATAAATGTCACAAATTTTATATAATAGGATTATATGTCGAGTGGCATTTAAAACAAATAAAGGTACAACAATACTAACAAGTTCAAAATAATACATAATAAAGTATGAGATTCTTATATTTCAGCATCAGAGACAAGTTGCAATGCTAAACAAAGCACCATAACACATTGAAAAGTTAGCAAAGGACAACACACATCTTGCATGTGAATAAATCTCATGTTTATCAAAATCAATGATAGTTCTTAAACAAAAATGTAGGGAAAAATATTTTAATTTTTATGTTACATTACAATGCTCAGTGTACATAAAAAAGAATAGGCAAAAGAATTTAAATGGTAAAATAACCTTGAGCATTTAAAAGCACTGTTCTATAAATATATGAACTAAATGTGACAAAATTTTGATACAAAAAATTATGGATTATAACAGTCAGTCAGAAAGTGTAATACCAAATTAGTATCAATTGTTATAATATAATAAAACCCTAAATATAATGTATAAGAAACCTGCCCAAATAATACTTATGTTATTTTTTTAGCGAACTTCATTAATAAGTTGATCACATATTCTAGTTAACTCTTCATTGTCCCTAGTTTTTTGCACTAGGGATTCTTGAAGTGATGATATTGAAATCTCATGTTTCTTGATTATAGCATTCAATCTTGTTATCTCACTGTTATGATTTTTCTTTATGCTCTCCAATGTTTCATTAGCTTTATCCAAGTTTTCAGAAGTAATAGTCTTTAAATTGTTGTACAATTCCTCATATTTCTTTATACCACTTTCATACTCTAAGATTTTCTCTTCAAATATTCTTTCTCTATCTTTTGTTTCCATGATAACACTCTTACATTTTTCATACTTTGCTAGTAGATCATTAAAAGAACTTTCCATGCTCGAAAGATGGGTCAGTGCTTGATCCCTTTCCAAAATAAGTCTTTCTGTTATTTCCTGGGACTGGATCCTTTCACGCTGCTGTTCACCAATCAAGGATGATATAGTTTTTTCATATTCCTCCATGACAATACTCATCTGCTTATTATTTAAAGTTTTATCACTGATCTGTTGTAATAATTTATTTTCTCTGTCACATAAAATATCATTCTCACTTTTCAATTTTTTTATTTTTGTTTCCAATTCCTCTACGGTCCGAGAATGTTTGTGTTCCAAATCTTGCAAAGAAGATCTTAGTTCCCTATTCTCTTGTCTTAATTGTAGAACTTCCTGATCTTGTTTTTGGAGAATAACCCTAAGTGACTGTAGGCGGTCCACTTCCTGGTTATTGTAATTATTGTAACGAGGACTTCGTGGAGCTGCTGTTGGAGGTGTGTTCCCAGAGATGCTAATCAATCTTTCAGTTGTGACTCTGCTAGGAGTTAAAATAGCAGATACACTGCGAATTAAAGCTGGAGTAGATCTTGTATTAGAGGTACTGATCTTAGGAATTTCAGAACTTACAACTGGTGGGACAACCTGCATGGGTTTTTCCTTCGTTAACATTGCTCCCATTGATATAGAATGCTTTGGGGTAGCAACATGAATATCTGCGGTTGAAGTCGTGCTACCAGTTTCATATCCAACATCATATTCCGAGTTCTCTGCTGAATCTGTGCAATTGCTGCTCAAAGAAGCTAATTTTTGTTTTGCATACAATGGATCAAATTTAACAAACAGGCTTTCCTTTCCCCTGTCAATGAAAGTATGATTTCGATTTGATTCAGCACATTTTACAAGATAATCAAGACTATTCGCGTCTATAAACACATCATCAGATGTTGGAATCTCTTGCATAGTTACGTCGCAGATACTATCGAAATCTGCACCCGTTAACAAGTCATCGGTAACATCTGGATGTTCCATAAATTCCTTTGATTTTTTCGGCGACATCGCCATGAGATCTCCCATTGATTGAATTGCTGATAAAGAACTTGTAAAACTATCATCCGATGCAGAATTTCCTCGAGCTGATAACATATCTCCTTGTTCTGAATTTGCAGCAACTCCGTGTCCCAATAGATTTTGAATTTTTTGATAAATCGTCTTTATACTACTTCCTTCATTTGGTGATTGTGCATCGAGACTTAATATATTTGAAAACATTCGTCCTTTAATGTACTTTCACTATCTAACGAATTTAACGTGCCGTAACCACTCTACGTTCGAACTAATGTAGATCTTCTGGTTCTCAGCTATTTTTGAACTCCAAAACGATATAAAAAATAAAACACAGAAATACTCTGAACACATCAACGATTCCAAGTCCAACGGATAACAATATTTTTAAATTTGACATATGGCGTAAACTCAAAGAGAACGTGCCTTGCCATATGGTTAAGTGTTATCTAATTGTCAATAGATGGCAGTTGTGCTATTAAAAGTTTAAAACATAAAATATTCTATTTAGATAAAAGTTAATAGACGTATTTTATATTATATTTTATTCTTTTATCTGATAGAAATAAGACATCCTTTTTTTTAAGCTCGAAATATACAAAAATATTTTTATACATACAATGGACATGGATACCAATGTTATTGGTACTACTACCTAATGCTTTATAATTATTTTTATATGAAATCTTTACTATTTAGAACAAATAAAAATTATGGAATAAATTAATCTATCTGTATGATAAGAATCAAAGAACAGCTTGCTTTTAAAAATACTTACCGTACATAAAATAATGCAAGATGTATTTAGAAATATACATGGCATCCAAAACCACCAGGAAAAAGCTAGCACAAAATTTACATTATATTGCAGTTGCTAGAAATTTATCTATTCTAGTTGCCGAAGAATAATAAAAATTAAACTAAGCAGACTACCTGGGTTATACCATCCATTGCCAAACGAGGAGTATTAACATTTTTATAAAACTTATTTACAATGCCTGCAGAGAGCTTGGAAAAATAGCTACATAAAAAGGACATTAATTATAGGATGGTAAATAAACTGCCTCTTAACTTGCAATAAATATGTTATTGCAAATTAAGTTGTATTACTCCAAAATTTTTAAGCTCAATAATTAAAAATAAATAATATTAACTCTGGTTAGGTGCTAATTGGCTACTCTGATCAAAAGATTTATTAGCAGCTGTTAATTTCTAGTAATCCATTCTAAAGGTAGACTAAAGCAATGGCTCCAAAACTGATGACTAAAGACACAAGTGGCAAAATAGCCTCAACTGTTTTTTTTACAACCACTGAAACAGGGCTGTAAAATCTGTTGTCTGAGGTAGCCACTGAAAGTATATTACAGCTAAAAAGCAAACCAATTGAGAATGAAATTCAATTAAAGTATCTCTGGCATATTTTATATAAGTTTTATGTTGGCTGAAAGCTGCTTTGCTCTACTCTCAAGTCATTTGCAAAAGAAAAATTGACTTTTTGTGGTTTTTTGTACCATGAGATTAGGAAATTGATTGAGAGTAAAATTCTAGCCACACTTCATCGTCAGTGACTGGAAGATAGTAAAAACAATGAGTACAGATATTATATTGTCCATCGATAAGTTCTCAACAGTAGAATTTTTTTTGCTATCCAATCCATTATTGGATACATGTGATAATTAAGTTATATTTGTAGGGTTTTCCATACCCAAAGAGTAAAACGGAACCCTATTACTAAGACTCCGTTGTCTGTCTGTCACCAGGCTGTATCTCATGAACCATCATACTTAGACAGTTGAAATTTTTACAGACAATGTATTTCTGTTGCCGCTATAACAGGAAATAGTAGGCTCACAGACATGATTTTTTCCCATATTTATAGATAATGGTATGGAACCCATCGTATGCAAGTCCAATCACACTTGGCCGTTTGTTTTTATTTGTTATATAAAAAAATGCTAAATTTATGTCTAAATAGAAATAGATTTCAGTCTTGCTTTAAATTTTGACATTTGAAATAGTATTCTAACTTAGTACAATAGCCATATTTTAGAATCCTGGAGCTAGTTGGGTGAGGCAAATATATTGGTAAATGCAAAGAATTATAGATTTTGTTATTGACATTTGAAATTTAATAGGCCTTACTATCTTTTTGCTGTATATAAAGCAATGTAAACATAAATATTTTCCTACACCAAGTAGCATGTAGTAAATTGGTTATTTTAATTAAATTTACAGTATCTGGTGGTTGCTCTAGGATTATACTCGGGTTGTCCAAATAAGTGATTCAAAAGATGAGTGCTTAGACACTGCTGTGGCGAACATATCACACACTTTTCTGAGCACAACTTTTCAATACATAAATTTCAACAAATAAAATTTTAGCAAAACTTTCAATACAGATAGACAATGAATTAAAGAAAGCTCAATACTCACATAAATGTTTATGTATATATTTGTTTTATATAAAAGGCATAATGATTGATGAATCACATAATGCAAATTACCTGGCCTGGCTATTAAAAGAGGATCTGCTCGAACAAATTCCTTCACTTCTTCTACGAAAAGTTTGAGTTCAACCTTTAATTCTTTAGAGCCATTCTTAATATGTTCAAAAAATGGGACTTTCTCTGTAGTTTGGTACCCTCCTTTTCTGTCTTTTTCCCAAAATAAGCCACGGTTTAACTGTGTAAGTTTTAGTGTATATCGATTAAGATAAGCTATTTTATCTATTTTTTTGCACAAAACAGAATAATTACGAAACAAAGATACAGTTTTTAATGTTTTCTTACAGAATAAAGACATTATGATAAAGACATTTATTTCATTTTTTTGTGATATTTCTATTTAAATATATATTTGTTTTAATTAGTAGTTATTTTAACAAAATATATTATTCAAAACATAACCTCAATCTATTTTAATACATTATTTAACATTAACAGCTAGGGATGTCTCCATTCAGAAACCCTTTCTATATACTTTTTGGCATTTTTCGCCTTTATGTCAATGGCAAACTAAAATAAAGTAAAACAAAACATTGACAATGTTGAAGTAAACAACAGAGAAGACGACGAAATCGAGAAGATTACGGATAGTACTTTTTTCGTATTCGTACTATGGATAGTACGTCGTTCGTAGTAATATATAATTATATACCTAAGTGATTAAAGTACTGCTCGAAATATCGGAAGATGGGGGTTCGATTCCTGCGGCGGTGAAAACCTTTTCGCATAATTTCTATAAATTTTTAATATTTCAGCTGAAGTCTAGATACAAAAATTTAATGCAAATTCTAAATTTCAATAGCAGGTTCGAAATCTCTAGTTTGAATTATCGTTGTAAAACGTTATTCTCTAATAAACCTAATCCACGGGGCACGGTGCCAAGAACGCTAGCTGCATTTCCTCGCTGCATAGTAATGCTTAACCTTTGAGCGAGAAAAGAACCAGCTCTCTTGTCACCAGCCGAGCGTTAAGCCTAGTACATAAACTTTAAATAAAAATTGATGTCTGAGGACCCCACGAACCTAAAATTTCAACAGAAAATGGCACAAATACATAATCTAAACAAAAAGGCTCATATTTGCGCCATTTCCTTACTTCAGCTGCCTCCGATGCCGCCCCGACCCTGATCAAAGTACCCCTTAGATGAGAGGCAGCCGAAGTGTCTTCAACCGGCGTCCTAAACAAGTGCTTTGCCTCTCACCTAAGGGATCAAAGTTAAACCGTCGGGTCTCTTACCATCGTTGCAAAAAATGCCACAGGGCTCTAAAATAGATGGAACATTGATGGAAACAAGAGCCCTACGAATAATGTTGTTCAGGGAACCGTGGCTGGAAAAGCAGCCAGCACTTTTTTGACAAGAAAGCCCGTGGAGGCCAAATTTGTCTACACTGACACCTAAAGGGACCACGGATTCCCACGGAACACCCCCAGACGGCTTCCTACAGCAATTCGTAAGCTTTCATCGTTAAGTAATGTGCCCAAGTTACTTGGTGGTAAAGCATGAAGCCAATAACTCGATTCTTTAGATGAGATGTCTAGTAAACGGGCACACTCTAAATTACTTTCTAAAGATTGAACGTATCTTTCTGTACTCTCCGCACCAAAGGAACATCCCACTGTTTTTGTAAGTTTCCTTCGTGTGGGATATTTTCGTTGGAGCAGATAGACAGCCAAGACATCCTTGCCTCCTCGGCATAGGAAAGTTCTGTGATTAAGGATATTATTACATATATTATTTACGCTATGCACGGAGGCAAGGAAGGCGGGTAGAGCGACATAAGAAATTTTCCTTACACCGATACCACCAAAACGTATTGGTCCAGTAGTAGCTTGAGTCCAGCTTAATTCATTAAGAGATATATTTAGAATTTTTTCTAGAGCTGATTTAAGATGGAAATCAATTGCGTTCAAAAAGTCACCGCATTTCCAAAATGGACTCGAGCGAAGGAGGTACGTAGATTTTGGTACAATAATGCAATGTCGCAAAATAGTAAGCGCTATATACGAATCTAGTAAAAACAATTTCTAAAATTGAGTTAACTTTAATTTAAATGAGGTTCCAAACTTGGTATCAACAAAGGAACACCTAAGAGGTAAAGTGAATCTGAACGGACTACGTTAATTCCTGGTATGATAGAGCTAAAATTTTGGCTCCAATAATTTTGTCGGAAAAAGAAATCTTGTCGGAAAAAAAAGTTCACATTTTGGAATTATTTAAATCGAAACCGATATTTTCAAATTGTCTAATAATTATTAGACAATTTGAAAATATCTGTAAGGTCACTTTTTACATCGTCAACTTCACCTCCCAGCGTACCATCGTCTAGGTGCCTTAAGTTTAGATTTCAATTTTGAAATAATTGGATGAATTCCCAAACTAAATAATGCTGGTCCTAGCGGATCTCCCTGCTGAACGCCGACAGCAGAATGAATAATATTGTCTTCATGAAATAAATTACTCTTTTCACTGTAACATCGCCAAACATAATGATATATTTCTGGTGTATGGTTAGCCACTTCGTTCAGCAGAGTCGTTCTATCAATGGAGTTAAAAGCATTCCTTAGGTCAACCTTCAGAAGTACATCCAAATCACTAGTATTTAAAGATGTTCGAACAGAATGTACAGCCGCTTCAAAGCCGAGCTAAAAATTTTAGTGCTGTTATGAGGTTTAGCGCTAGGAATGCCAGAAAGACTAGTAAAAATCATACGAGACTACTTGTTGAAACTTTGATTTAATTTTCTAGTGAACGGAGCCCTATCATACTTGAAATACTTGAAAAAAAGCTTTGTATACTCTGTCGTCGCATACAATTATGCTCGTTGAGGGGTATGTTCTGTCCTTACGGGGTACATAAGTGCTTGCGTTGTTAATCTCTAAATAAAAGCTCATTCACAATCGAGCAGTATATTAGATATTAGTAGCGACATAATTTACATATTATAAGGGATACACTTATCTAACAATCTTTTACAATAATATAAAAAGTAAAGTAAAATAATAGCCTATACATGTACCACTGCTGGGCAAAGGCCTCCTTTGTACTGAGGGTATCAGAGCATAGACCATCGCGCGGCCCCGCTGCGGGTTAACGGACTTCACATAGCTTCGAAATATTTTTTGTTGTTATTTCGAAAATATGAAGGTTTACTCACAAATATTTTTCTTCACCGCTAGCACATGATAGGTCGGCACTTAAAAGTTTCAATTAAAGGCGAGCGCCCGAACTCTGAGCTAACACGTCTTGATTTATTTATTTGTTTATTAATACTTTAATGTACCAATAATATTATTAATGTCCTTTTAGACGGTAATGTCATAGTCAAGGATGGGCAGACAGTTTGAAATTTGCCTTTAGGTCCTCGATACTGGGCCATAAAATAAAAAAATTAGAAAGTTTCTTCTTCTTTGTTTAATAAATGGCTTCTCTTAGAAGAATTCTGCCAACATCATGTAAAAAGTTAGAAATTGTCATATCAACTCGTTAATGTCATGTAAAATATTGTGTTGTCAATGTTGTGAGTTGTCAATGTCATTATTCAAATTCAATATATTATCATTTTGGCATTTGTTACATACTATCGTGTCTGATAGAACCTTTATTCATTATGGTGCCACGTACTGTCGGATACATTTTCTAATTTATATTTAGTGCAGGAGTGGAAACAAAAATAATGATAAATACTAAATACTTCTAATAATCAGTATTCTTTCCATTTTTTACAATGGGCATGGAGACGCACTGCGGTGAGGTATGATTGTATACTATAAATTGTATTTTTTTCTTTTATTCCATTGCCTTGCAAGCTAGGTTTTTAATGTTTTTACCTATTCAATCTTTTGTAGGATGGGCATTTGTCCGAATATCTATATCGCCCAGAAATACTCCAAAAACTTGATTTTAGTAAAAGTCCAGCTACATTTAATCCAATAATTAGTGCAGCTAATCCCGGCGCTGAATGGATGGTTGTGAGACCTTTGCAACGCGCAGACTACGATAAAGGTTTTCTACAGTTGCTCAGTCAATTGACTAGTACTGGGAGTATCACAAGGAAACAGTTTGATGGTGGGTCTATATTTCAATCAATTCGATTATATTTATTAAAGGCAATTATCCAATATATTTACGCATATTAGTTAGTATTGTACTACTTAAATGACATGATTTTATGAAACAATTATAAAAAATTCAGAACTGTGCAATGTAACTGCAGAAACAGTTATTATGCTACAAAAACTTTTTGTGAAGTTTTTTTAAAATAGTACTTAATTTATCTAAAAAATAATAAATATTTTTATATCATATGCAATAGAATATCCTGTTACATTTTACTTTGGTTAAGTTTAAATAAGATTGGGCTTTACAAATCTTTATTGAAGAACCTTATCTATATTTAACTCAACTTGTTAAGGCTGAGAGCTATTTTAGATGTTAGGCTGTATGGTGTTAAGAAAGGAAAATCAATTATGCCAACTTTCATAATGTTTAAAAACAAGTGTTTAAAAATATCATTATAGATTAGGAGCATCTTTTTCTTGTTTAGATATGGCAAATTGAGAATATTAGATACTAATGGCAGTTTTGATGATATGCCATTAAATTATTCATAAATTAAGAACTTTATTATGTTGATACAAGTGCAGGGCTAGTTTACATTAATTATGTGAGATGAGAATTTTTTTTGTCAAAAAAGTCAGTTCAGAATCTGTGGAGCATGAAGTGTCAGTAAAATATTTATGAAAATCAAAACTTTTAGGATTTTGAATTTTATTGACATTTTGCCAACACTTCTTGCTTTTTATTACTTCAACAATGTGCTCAGCATTCTTTAAGGCATCGAAATTTCTAAATGTTCCATTCTGCCTTCATCCCTCTATTTTATTGAATGTATGTTTTATATCATATGATAGTCATTTTTTCTATAAGATTCAACCATTGAACATTTATGCAATTTTGATTACTACATTTAGCATTTTTAAAATTATTTCCCTAGGAAATAAATTTTTGACTAAGCAGTGATGCCTATAATAAAGAAAAAAAATAAGCCTATAATCTTAGACTTGTAATTGAAGGTTAGGGTTCGAATCGTATTGGAGTGTCAATGAAATGATTTCTAATATACACTTGATGAACAATCAAAACACCAAAAATGGAAAAGTCATTATTTTTTATATGTGTATGGTATAAGATTTATCTTATCACCTTTTATATTTTAGGCTTGTTCTATTACTTGTCTTGGTTTACCTATAAAAATTGTGAGATTATGGTGTCAAATTATTATTATTATGGTCCTTCTTTATTATGTTATATTTTCATTGCGAATTTCTAGTTGGCGCCTTTTAAATTTTTGCAAATTTAATTAAGTTATTATAATATGGACGATAAAACTGATGCCCGAATGCTGTCATTTTCATTTAGCTTTAATGATTCCCGCGTGATACATTTTTACTACATAATTGAAATAGAAACAATTTTTGCTTAAAAAAATTATATAAACTGTTACTTTCGTACTTTTATGCAACTATATTTACATCACGTGTTTAAAGCATACGTAATAGTGCCACGCACGCACTTTCATATTTTTGTCTGTCTATCACATTAACCATTCCCTTTTGAAATGTGTTTGGTAAACCAGTTTCCATTAAGGAATGTTGGCATTTGTGTAGCCGCGTGACCTTAAAAGTCGATACGACCAGTTTTACAATGACCTTACTGATAGATTAGTTCTTCCTGATTGATATTGAAATACTTTCTTGAGTGTATCCCTTAAGTTCGGTGGGATAAATCAGTTTTCGTTCTCAATATGAATAGTCTAGACCAGGAAAATGTATCAATAAAAAAAAATCAAATGCTGTGAATATTTCTTCTCTTTTACTATAGTCTATAGGCTGGTAGCAACAACGAATCGTTAAATAACGAAGTTTCTAGTTTCTTTTCACCTATGTTATCTTATTAGAATAATTTTTTTTTTTTACTTTAGGATATCTTTCAAATATATATATATATATTTGAAAGATTTTTCCAATTGAAAAATAGCCTATGTCCTTTCTCAGAAATATCTGTTTACCAAAATTCCTTTAAATCGGTTCTGTAGTTTTGGCGTGAAAGCGAGACAGACAGACAGACAGTTATTTTCGCATTTATAATATTAGTATGGATTGTAATACAATGTTGTAATAGCACTTACTTCTTTACTTTAATTAGTATTTATTTCCTTTAGAGTGCGAGACGCGGTGGATACGCATTTCACTTTTCTTTTTATTTTCGTGGTTCTTACACATCTCTTTTATTCTATATCTATACATGTGTCGGGTCCTACACAGTTCCGACCCCTTCGGATTATCTTCGGTACATTTTGTCAAATAAAAAAAAGTATGTGTTTACTTACTACTTATGCACGAACATAAGAATTAAATATTTGATCCTCTATGCCAGTGCCAATTAAATACTTTGAATTACAGGTAAATGTTGTTATTGGTTGCCATGGTAATAATACCGTGAAGTTCATCACTTTGCAACAAATTTCAAATACAAATCTGTCGGTGTGCGGCGCGCATCTTAAAAATTTTACTCATATTTTTTCCAAACATGTCAACGGAAGTTAATTTCAAAAATAGAAAGTCTCTGACTTTTCATACGAAAATTTCGGGTGATATAGTCGGTGTGTTTTTTTTTTGCTACATATTTTGTTAAATTTTCCATTTCGGCGTTTTCGACCAAACAAAAATTTTATTCGGTAAAGAAAAACCACTAATGAAATAACACATAACCAATATTGGTCAAACAATGGTCATTTATTTGTAGAGCGATTCACCCAGATGAAAATATCCGGCGGTCACTACGTGACGGTGATCGAGGACAAACGCAGCGCCAAGATAATTGCCGCAGCGACCCTGACAGTTGAGCAGAAATTTATTCACAACTGTTCCTTGGTAAGTTGTTAATGCGGTACAGCTGACATAAAGCGACACAGGTTGGTTACAATATACTGGGAGGCTTTTTTAAGTGTATCCATTTTTTTTTTAATAAATTCTAGACATAAAAAATGAAATATATTTAAAATCACTCGTAATTAATTAAATACATTCATTTGAACTTATCTCAAAAAGTGCGTAATATATGGGCAACTCATTTATTTTACGCGCGATCATTCATAACTAACATGCACACAAGTTCGTTTCAAAAGTATACGACGCATTTATGAATGACTACCGCATTGTCAACAAGTTCTGTTTTTTAGGGAATGGAATGGCATTTTTTTTTTGAAAAAAAATTTTGTTTTAATTTCAATAAACGATTATACTACCGAGTCTAAACCTCCTGTGTGAAAAGCCACCCTGTATATACAAACGGTCAGCGATGCTCGGAAGCCGCCACATTTTATAACTCCGCTGCGAACATATATCAAATATCTATCGATGACATTCATGTTCTACCGTTTTATTTAATTTAGGAAATATGTAAACAAGTAACTTCATTTAGGAAATTACATTAAGCAACCTGTCCATGCAATTGCCAAAAAACTAGGAAAAAATATTAGGTTGCTAGGTATTATAATAAGAATATCACCAATAGGCATTTTAACAAAGTGTGCGGATTTTATTTATTAATGCTTTATTTCAAAGCACTTATAAAGAGATTAGAGAATGTTTATGTTATGCAGACAGAATGCATAGATTTCTTTCGTAACGACCAGATATTACTGTTGTCGGTAACGACGGAGAAGACAAATTCTAAGACAATTATATGTACTTATTTTTCAGCGTGGCCGTTTAGAAGATGTAGTGGTTAACGATACGTACAGAGGGAAACAATTGGGAAAGCTGTAAGTATGCAGACTTGCGGCTCAATGTTTAATGCTTAGTTATTTATGAAACTTGAAATCTGTTACAGAATAGTCGTTACTGTGTCTCTACTGGCTCAAGAGCTAGGCTGCTACAAAATGTCATTGGACTGCAAGGACAAACTGATAAAGTTTTACGAGACCCTCGGATACAAACTTGAACCTGGCAACTCCAACGCTATGAATATGAGGTCTGTACATGGGTTCGTTTTATAAAAATATCGTTTATACGTATATTTATTAAACGTATATGTATATTGTTCTCTCTTACATCTAATAGTTATTATATTAATAGTGTGAATGTTTTTGTTGTTTCGTATGTCAATATTGATTAAAAAAGTATTGATACAATCGTTTTGGGTAACTTTGAATTGCGGTTTAACTTTAAACAACGTTGTCAAAAAGATTTATTAATTTATTACACGAAAACTGTTTTTTTGTTTCAATATCGTAACTGCGTAAAACGATCGCCAAAATCTTTTGAAATAACGAAAAGTAAAAAAAAAAATTACTTTTAATGCAATGATTTGGCAAATTTCCTGCTTTTTCCGTGGTGCAGTCATAGGAAGTATTTGTTATTCTGATTTGGAATCGTAATTAAAAATACAAAAATTATTGGAAACAGGTATGTTTTGGTTTTTATCTCTAAAGGGTAGTTTATATATTATTAAGACATTTATTTCAAATCATTATCCGTATTTCATGTTATATATTGTGTAAAACTGATAAACTGTAACTGTATTGGGTAACTGAACTAAAAAGTCGATCAAAATCGAAATGATATGAGTAACATTGAATGGTTCAAAGTTACCCATATAATTTTTTTAAATTGCCAGGTTACGAATGGGGTGTCTTGTTCCTAGAAATTAAAAGCAAAAATAGCTATATCCCGTAAAAAAATATATAATATATCCGAAAAACCCAGAATTAAAAGCAAAAATAGCTATATCCCGTAAAAAAATATATAATATATCCGAAAAACCCAGAATTAAAAGCAAAAATAGCTATATCCCGTATATAACATATTCTGAAATAGAGCTTAAGTCACCCGAGAAATGGTCGAGAATGTCTTTGATAATATTTAAATGGAAAAAGAAGGAGTCTCATCAGAAAATATATACAACATGGATGAGTCGGGATTTCATTTTGCTTTTTCGAAGGGTCTCTCGACATCGTGAAGTTATAAACTGGGGTGCCGTAGCTATTGGTGCTGTGGTGCGATAATCTCAGCGCCCACATTTAGTTACTAGTGATTACGATTTTGATCTCATTTGCCAAATAAACTTATAATTTATTATGTTTATAAAAAAATAACTATTTTATTTCCCACCAAATTGGTCCACCTTGATTCAAATAGCAAGACCAAGCTATCTATTACATTTAAACGTTAATGTAGATTTAATTTTTAGAGATAAGGTTTTATTTAATGAAAATACGTCATATAATTTTACAGAAACTTTGAAATATTCGGATAATGATGGTTTTTACATCCTAAACAATTATATTCAAAGTTACCCTAAACGCACGATAAATTTGAGTTTGGAGGGAAATTGTGGATAGTTCTTTTGATTATAATTAATTGTGTCGGCAAAATAAACCAACTCGAAAGGATACTATTCATTCAATAAAATAAAGGTGTAATAGATATAAATCAAATTGTAATAGCACGAATTCTGTTAAAAAATGTTCAAAGTTACCCAAACTGACGTTAACAGTACCAATGTAACTATATGTTATGGTTCGACGATAAAGAAATTTAACGCAAATTAGACACCCACCTGCGTGAAGTCGAGGCGAGAAAGCTAGTCGTTAAAGAGCTGTGAACTTGTTTCAGATTCGAGGAAGACCCCTCCTGACAATTAGCCGCTGGGGCATCCGACCTGCGTTCCAAGCTGTAAGTTACGTTCGACGGCCGAGTGGTGTTCACAACGTATTCATTTACTCCTCTACTGATGTTCGTTTTTAATTTTCAACGGAATTTAACAAAGGAGGTCAATCCGGTTCTTTTTTGTCTCAGAACTCCTTCACTCACGAACCGAATTTATTTTTACATTGGGTTCGACTTGGCTTCCATGTGGTCAATATGAGATTTCACCGGTATTGGAACTTCATAGAATGTAAAGGGGGATTTTTGATGTTGGTTTTATTTTTTGATAATGGATTTTTTTTAAAGTACTGTTTAATATTAGCTTCTGTTTTGTTATTGTTGTGAATGTCTGCTTGGCGGTTTTGTAATTACAGTCGCGGGATCAATTTATCTATCCATCGGTGGAGTGATCCATTGCGATATGTTTCAAGGAATGGCCGCTTCTACTGATGGGGTGTTAAATTGATTTTGGATGTCTCAGCACTTGAGCCGAGTTTTCGCCACGTCGCTTTTTGATGTTTACGTTACTAATCACTGCAGTTCATATGTGAAAAATAGTCCTTAAATATAGATATAAATCGCATAACAACTCGTGCCTAGAATTGAAAAATAGTAAAACCCGATTGCATAATAGCTAACATTTTTGAGGCCAATATGTTGTTTCAATTGAACATTTTCCTCTACGCTGTTATAATTTCATATATCTATCACAAGATAACACAATTTGAAAGATTAGGACAATTCGATTGGTGTAAGAATCATCAAGTGCTAAGTGTTTCGGGCCCTAATGCCACAAAGGGACAAATAGGTACGTAGGCTAATAAACACCTCCCTTTTGAATCGCGCAGTCGGGTAAAAACTGCACATTTACAAACGTTAATTCTTTTTATTCCTCAAGTTTCATTACGAAACATGAATATGTCACTTGGCGGTTATCTACAATACAATACTGGTCGCACAAAACACATTTCCTTATTCGTAAATATGCTAAGTGCATGTCCATGTATGTATATCAAGTTTGTAGAAATAATCTATGACCATTTTGTGATCGTTATTGCTTTCATGTTATGTTACTAACATATTTTATCATTTAGTTGATTAAGCTTTTTAATGTGCAGATTCAGTACTTAATATTTCGTATATCATTTTGTTACTAACATTCGTAGTATTACCCCAATAAATAGTACCGCTTTTCATGTTTGTTTCATTTTTTCAAACCAAAGAACATTGTTTTGTTATTTCCTTGGCAATGTTCATCAAAAAACGTGCCTGCAATATAAGTTTGAAACCTGAGAAAAGGTTAAACCTAAATTTATAATGGCCATAGAAGTAAATAAAATACGTACGTTTGAAATTTTTCCCCACATAGTGTGGGGAACAACGATGATTCAAAACATTAAAAAAAATCACCTGAACTGGAATGTTCACGCGTTTCTTTTTAAGTAATATCAATAGGAAAACAAAAATTAAAAATTATATTGGTTAGCGGTTGGGCCTTCTAGAAATAAAAGAAATGTACTTTTTTCCCTTTTATTTACAGAAGTGTAAATACTCATAATTAGCGCGTAGAATAAGAATTTTGCTTACAATATCAAAGTCATACAGTCTTACTGGAAAAACTATGTTATAAAGACCAATTCAATTTTAGGACAAACATTGTTCAGTGAATTGTAGTGTTTCTAACTTAGATTTTCCAGGTTTTTGCACTTTTTAAAACTTCACACCAATTCCCTTACACTAAATTGCGCTTCCATCACATATAACAAAGTGAGAAAAGACAGGCAATGTAAAGTTTTTATAAAGAAGGTATGTGCTTTAAGCAGTTTTCACGTTACATTCATTTAACAAAAAAAATTTCCTTAAACATTAAAAAACTTTTACGGAACATTATATTTATGCTTTTTTGATGATTGGGTGTTTGTAGTATCATGTTGCATTTTAAAATTAGCTATTGTTGAATAGTAGTTAAATTGTAATATATTACATGTTACTCATCTTCTTTTTATTTAAAATATGTAGAAAAAGTCTTTTATTTAATTAATTTTTCATGTGAAAAGTTGCCAAGCTAGTAGAAGGTTCACCTGATATTAAGTGAATACCGCCACCCATGGACATCTGACGCCCGAGGGTTCCTGATGCGTTGACAACCTTTTGAAAATTGGGCTCCGGCCACCTCACCCACCAGACGAAACGCGAAAGTATTTGTCATACTTCCATTTTACGCCGGTCTTCTGTGAGGTCGTGGTACTTACCCGGACGAGCCTGCCCATTCGTGCAACAGCCGAGGCTGCTGCGTGGCCCTACCACCGTAACCTCTTTTTAATATCTGATTTCTTTGTTATTCTTAAAGTGTTTTGTAGTTCTCATGTAAAAGTCTAAGGAAAACTTTAAATTACCAAACATTAAAATAATAAAATATACATTAATACCACAAATTGTTATTCGGAACAAAAAAAGGTTGCATCTTTTTTTCCAGAAAGGCTACAGCAAGTGATATGGATGCTAAAGAGTAAAAGGTTGACGTAATTTGTATTACCCACGACAATACGAATTTCGACAATACTGATACGCCAGCTGATTAAGAGATAAATATGATTTGCTCAAGTGATATGAAGATTGATGTATTAAAAAAAATTAAATATATTATTAATATCATCTTGCATTATCATTTCCGAATCACTGTCATATCAAACTTATTAAATTTAAAATCACACACCGTCATAAAATATGCTGAATGAAAAAAAAAGAGTTCAACGAAACTTTTTTTAGATAGAACTTTTTAGCACATGTATGGGATTTATTTTATTTTGTTCAATAATAATTGAAAAAACTTAACTTTCTCTTATTTTCAATGAATGAAATGAAGAAATTAATATGTAGAAGTAATATGCATAAACAAAAATCAATTATATTTATATAAAATGTAAATTTGATTGAAAGATGTGTAAATAGTTTTTTAATCTGTTATGAAATTGCATTACGAAAACAATCTATGCGCGGATAGCCTAATCGGTAACACAGTTTGGCTAATCCTTTCACCATGACTAAGTAGCTATTTTGACTCGAAGAGTACAAGAGAACAAGAAAATATATTAATGTAATAAAACTACATATATTTTAAATCAACTTGGACTACTGTGGAAACCGAATAAGAAGTTATCCATTGTGAATGTATATTTCATAGGTTTTTCTTGGTGATCTATTAATTCAATATTCAAGTATATAAGATATGTTTTTTGCCCGCTGCTCTGGGATATCTTTATTTAAACGAAGTGGTCTTGACCTAGTAATTTCTTATGTATTATAAACCGCTTTGCGCAGTGTCATTTTAAAATTTTTTTCATCAATATTTAAAAAAAAGTACTGAGAAAGTTTTTCATAATTTTTAAATTGTATAATCATTCGTAGTAAAGAATTTTTTGGTCTTGATGAATAAATTGTTTATGATAAATGTTAATTCACTTCTGACAATCAATGGGTAATAAGTTAGAACTATGACAAGTATGAATTAAACAAGTTTAATTGCCTGTCTGATTGACGTTTGTTCGTCCTATTATGTTTTATGTTTTTGAAAATCGGACGGGCATTCGAATATGACGACAATATTATTCGTAGTTGTCCTCTCAATTAAGGATTTATTTATTGTTATTTACATTTATTTAAAATTATGTCCCTAAAAATTTAGTGCTTAATGACAGCAAATTTATGTAATAGTTCTTGGGGCGCATGTTTTTTTGGCTTGTGATTTGCTTTACACTTGATCTTCTTTGTGGATAGGGAGTTCCCTCCATACATCCTTTCGTTGTTCCTCGACACAATTTTGTTACTTAATTTTGTGTATAAGAATTATTCCGTCAGCTTTTTCACACTTTACAGGTGTTATGTTTCTTGAATGGGCTCGTCCAAGAAAATTCATCTCATAATAATGTCGATTTCGAACGTAGTACACAGGAACCAAAGCACTTAATTTAAGCACAGTACACATACGGATAAAAATAATCCAAATATATTATTTAATCGTAAGAGGTCGGACACGGCGGCTAAAAATACCGTGTCGTAAACATGCCCCCTAACCTGTGTTGAATATATGTGAAGTACTGGTTTTCTTGAATTTCACTAGGCACTTTTTTAAATTCAATCTCGCCATTTTCATTCTAAAGCCCTTCAATGCTGATTTAATTCAAGGTACAAAAATTCCATGATCCGCACAACCCGCAATAAAGGTTCGGATTAAAATATGTAGTTTAAAAAGAATATATAAAAATTTTATGTATTTTTATAAAACGATGAAATATATTATCTAATAAAATTGGAGTGTCATACACGTTTGATGTCGAATAAATCTCACGTGTCAATGTAAGGCCACCTTAATAGCTTAGAAAAGGGAGCAGACTAAATACATCGGTGACTCGTGCGAGTGAGAAAACGATATTAAAAAATCGAATGGATGACAAACGTCTAAAGTAACTTAAATTTGTATAAGTAATATATTTCCAAGCCTTATTAGTTATCTAGCAAACATATTTAAACAAGACGAGGCAATTTGTTATTGCAATTAATTTTATCAGAATGAAACTGAAACCTTTACCTTAAACGATAACAGGCTGAGACATCAATCGCCAACAATCGCACACGATATTTATTCGTATAAAAAATCTTTTTCATGAGAGGAATTATTACAAGCTGCACCCGCTCGCTGGTTGCGTGGTGCAAGTGACAGTCGATCGCGGTCGCGCTCCAAGCTTTGAGGGTACTTCGACACCGTCGTCCGTTCAAACGTAGGTTCACTCTGACGAATCGACATCTCGGCCCGACCACTAGAAGGGTGGGGGCGCGTTGATCTTGGTGCCTAGCTTCATGGGCCCTTGGCCACGTGCGCTGCGCCTAGCCTCCATCTCCCTCTGCCGCTGCAGCTTCCTCTCTTCGCGCTTCCGTCGCATCTCCTCCATTTTAGACGCGTTGTTCTCTGGAGAGGAAATAGAGTAAATTGTTCGGTCATTGACATCAGTGTCGTACAAAGTTTAATGGGGCCACTGCTCGGACTTGATGCGTTAACAGTTTAACACTAAATCCTAACACCAAAAAATACATAATTAGAAAATTATTGAGTGATACAGTAATTTAAACTACGCTTAACACTCGCCTAACCAGCATCAAGTAGAAGTATATGTTATTCTTCTGCCTGGTATACTGTAATGGTATACTTCTGTCTTTTGTCTCGTGTGAGATGTAGCCGGGGCCCACTTTATTAAAAGGTGGCAACGCATTTGCAGTACTACGGCGGCTATCGCTTACCATCAGGTGAGCCGTCAGCTCGCTTGCCGCCTTCTCACATAAAAAAAAACACGCATCACCCACCATCCGCGTTCTCCTCTATCGGCTCGAATTCGCCGTCCTCCCAGCCGCATAGCGAGTCGCTGCTGTTTTGGTGGGCTGTGGGGCGGGAGGGGCCTCGCACGTAGGTCGCGTTCGCGCTGTTCCCCGCCATCATCACCGCCTCCGACCAGGTCTGGTTGTTCCACGTCTCCGATGGGCTAGCGAGCTCCGCTTCGGCGCTCTGATAGTGGAAAATTGAAATGATCATTAATTTATTTATTTATATACTTTTTTTGTAAAACTGATACAAACTGCTTAGTGTCTATGGCTTTTCCTACCCAGCCGATCGGAAAGTTAGTGAGAGAAAACCCGAAAGTGTACGTGCTGTTTGAACTATATAGATATAAATAACATATATTGAGCATTTTAATGTTGATTGGCTTCGTGGGGTACTCCCGTACATTGAAATTTTTAAAAGATTTATAGCTCTAGGCTTAATATCGCGGCTGTTGTCAAGCGGGCTGGTTCTTTTCTCACTGAATGGTTAAGCATAAATACTCAGCGGGGAAAAGCAGCTAACGTTCTTAGCACCATGCCACGTGGACAAGGTTTATTAGATAATAATAAATAATTAAGATAATTTTAATGTTTTAAATTTACTATAAGAAAATTAAACAATATTAATTATTACAATATACTTATTGCTTGAAGAAGGTTAAAGTGTCTGGACGCGAATCTGGTGGACATCGCGTAGCGGTAAAAAAAACTTTTCGTCCATTTTTCTACAAACTTTGAAGTTATCATGATTGGACTGAACGATGGCGTAAAGTTCAGCAGCCGGCAGAAGTGAATCGTGAATGTTTCGTTCTATAGGTGAATGAAATAAGTTCTTAGTGCTTAAGCTCTATGGCACTCTATTACATCTACGCCTCATTAGTTGTTAAGTTCGCAAACGAGTCACTAAAACAACTACTGTGTTTACTTATATAGATAGTGACCACAGTCTATGTTTTACGCAGTCTAAAATTCTTCTGGTTCCCGTGCCATTAACTTAGCTTCACACTTCATTTTAAAGTCCCTTATAACATTAAATGGCATATACAAGCCTCCTCTGTACGTCAAGGTTTACTCAGGACACGTTCTTTCACCGCCGACCTGAACGAACACTTTACACTATTATAGCATTTGAAGAAGCAATCAACTAGATACCGAGTTGAAATTATATAGACTACTATCTACCGCTGTTATTAGACTATGTTGCCCTGTATTAAAACTATATAGACCATTGTAAGACTGAGTTGTTAATTATAAAAAGCATGTTGAGTAGTATATCTGTATCTACCTCTGTTATTAGACTGAGTTGCCACATATTGTAGTCATACTTTTATGGAGTGGTGTCATTATACTGTATTAAAATTATATAGCCCACTACTGGAGTGACGACTTGTGCAAGTGTGCGAAGTCGATGGATGCAGGTGGCTCAGGATCATGCTTAGTGGCAGTCTATGGCAGAGGCCTAAGTTCAGCAATTGACTCGAACAGGCTGAAATGATGACGATGAGACTAGTTATTAAATATCTGCCTACCGGTTGCTCCTGCAGCGTGCCCCAATCGCCTTCCCAGTCGTCCTCGCAGAGCGCGCCTAGGCCGGGCGTCGCCTGCGCGCTGTCGCTGCTGGGCGGCGACTTGGCGCTCGCGCCCGTGCCTTTTCATTATATACACGATAATCAATTTACGTGTGTGCGAAAGAGACGGAAATATGCGGTCGTCTCGTATAGTATAAGTGGTAAGAGATCGGCGCTAGTTCTCAGTGCTCATTATATCAGACGATACGCGTCGACCGCGTATATTTGTGTAAATAATAATTACTAGCGCAAAAGCACGTTTTTTTAGAAAATTATGTATTGTTGGAAGATAGGAGGGCAGTAGCACACTGCAACGGTATATAAAAAGAACAGCGCTCGCCGTGTTCGGGGCACTTTCTCATCAGCCATTGTAGCAAGCGAAAGCTCTACCAAAATTAGTAACGATCGTGTCGGTTACTTAGAACTGTAATTAAACTCTACGTAGTTTGGCTTACTGGCCACAAAATTTTTAAATCAAAATTAATTGATTAAATCTTAATCATAGACAGTATTTTTGACAGAGAATGGCATAAAGCCCAGGCTCAACATTCCAGCATATCTCGTGATTGTGTCTTGTCTTCGAAAAGTAAGAATTTTCACCTGCGCTGGAGTCTATCTCGCCCCACGCGGTCATGTCCCAGTGATCGGGATCGTAGTCCGACGCCGACTCGCTGCGTTCCAATGACGTCATCGAGGTCACCGATGACGTCGTCGTCGACATACTGCTCGATGACGGTTGCTCTAAAAGGGAAATCACATAATGTTTTCAAACACAATGGTTGTGTTTTGAAGTCGTGAAATGCTAAAGAAAAGGACGAAGCAAGCTGTTGATCTGGTTGTATGAGGTTTATCTCTACCCATGGACATCTGTAAAAATTGTGGGGTTGCATATGTCCATGGATGTATTATGTAATTTTAACTCTTATTTTTAAAAATTTCCAATACCTAAATTACTTTTTAACCGACTTCCAAAAAGGAGGAGGTTTCTCAATTCGACCGTATATATTTTTATTTTCTTTATGTGTGTTCGGGGATAATTTCGACATTTATAAACCGATTTTGATGATTCTTCTTTGTTGGAAATGAGATGTCCCTAGTGTGGTAAGGAAACCCAGATCTGATGATGGCATCCCAGAGAAATCGAGGGCAATCCTCAAATGTTATAAATGTTGACAATGTTTTTACGTTCCTGTTTGAAGTCGGTTTTTTTTGTACAAAATTATTTAAATGAATTACTGGACATATTACTAACTTTCCCGTCTTAACACACCTTCGATACCAATTACATACACCCAATCCCATACACGATGCGCGCTCCTCCTCTTCCAATGGCTTCCAATAATCGAAATAACACTGTAGTGTACCTACGTTGTTACAAATTATCTAAGTAACCATGCAACAGCTTTGCTGTTTCACGAATGGGCAGACTCGTCCGAGGAAGTAACACGGCCTCGCAAAAGATCAGCGTGATAGGTACATAAGTTCGCATTTCGTATGGTGTTTGAGGTAACCGGGGCCCAATTTATTAAAAGGTAGCAAGGTATCTGTAAACCTACGGGTCATCACTTACCATCAGATGAACCACCAGCTCGCTTGCCACGTTCTCTCATAAAAAAAGACAGAAAGTAGTATCATACTTTGGCGTTTCGCCTGGTAATTGAGGTGACCGGCGCCCATTTTAAAGTTGTCAACGCATCTGCAAGCTCGTTGTGCATGTCACTCAACATCACGTGAACCGCTTGACCGTTTGACAATTTTGCCACATTAAACCAAAAAGTGTTGTGGAGCAGTTTACCCAACGAGCCGGGCTTCGAGAGGGCCGACTTGACCGAGTGCTGCACTTTCGCCGTGTCAGAGTGGGAGCGGTAGAACTTGGCGGTGACGGCTGTGACCGCCCAGCCGGCCCACGTGGCCGCCGCGTTGCTAAGCGACGGCGTCGCCGTATGCACGTCCGCCTCTGTAAGTGACGATAGCTCATCGGTAAACAATAATGGGGGGAAAAGACAAATAATAATAATAAATAAATATTGTCGGACACATTTTTTACACAACGTTCTCTAGTCCCAAACTAAGCAACGCTTGTACTATGGGTACTAGAAAACTGATAAACATCGCAGCAGCATCGACTGGGCAGGCTCGTCCGGGCTTACCCGGTACTTATACCACGACCTCACAGAAGACCGGCGTAAAGTGGAAGTATAATACTTTCGCGTTTTGGTCTGGTGAGTGAGGTAGGCGGAGCCCAATTTTCAAAAGGTTGTCAACGCATCTGCAACCCTCGGATGTAACATCAGGTGAACCGTCTGCTCGCTTGGCAATGTTTCACATAAAAAAAAAATATATATATTTCGAAAATAATACATATATATTTCGAGTCCGCCAATAAGTCCGCCAATCCACAATGGAGTTGCGTGGTGGACTACGCCCTGATTACCCTCTTTACAGAGGATGCCTTTGCCCAGCGGTGGAACATGTATGTATGAAATATTTATGTATTTATATGTAGGCTGTTATTTTATGTAACAGCCTACATATAAATACTACCTACAGATAAAATTATTCATTAATTTTTTTTATTGCGCCGCCGTGTGCACGTCCGCTCATCGATAAGTAACAAAGGGGGAAACGACAAATAAAAGTGATAAAACTATTCATGACAATTTTTTAGTGTGTAAAACAAATGACAGTAATGAGATATCTTTCATGACTCCGTGGCGCTGTTGCCAAGGTATTGGCTTCGGCGTAGGGGGTCGTGGGTTCGATCCACACACAGGACAACTATTTGTGAGATCCACAGATAGTTGTTTCGCATCTGGGTGTTTGTCCGCGTGAAATTTATGTTTGTATAACGTCCTTCAATAGAACACAGGATAATGTTATCCTAAATTTAGGGAAATGTTTAAAAAAAAACAGCTATGAAATAATGAAGAGGATGAATGACAAACGGAAGCGATAACATTATTCACAAAATTTATTTAGTGTGTAAAAATAGATGAAGGTAATATTACGCATTGAACATTTCGAAGCTTATTAAAGGCGTGGAAGTAATACTGTTTAGAATTTTTTGGTATAATACGCTGGGATAATGAGAAGGCAGCACATACCCATTCCCTCTTTCAGGCTTGGGTCTTCCGACACTTTCTCCAGTTTCCCGAGGAAGCCCCTAATTGTCCTAAACGCTGCATCCCGAACCTTAAAATGTAAAATAATATAATTGAACATTATTAAAAGGTATATTGAGTAACCGGCAAGGAATTTAAATCCACAAAGTACATATTACTCTGCTCTTTTGTCTGAGTGTGCAGTAAAGTAACAGGGAGTATGTAGTCAAGAGATAATACAAGGCCTTATCGTCAGTCAAGTACTCAGTGATGTGAATCCTCAACCATAGCGAAGGAAGCAACCGGTTGGCGACTAATATATTCATATGACCTTATCCTTTATCTTTGTTGAATACTGTCTACTAAGAGTGATGAGCCACCTTCATGTTGATTTCGCCGTGCCGTACCGTGATTAGGATCACGTGGACTTCCCTCGGAATAAACGACTAAATAAGGGACATAACAAAAGGTATGAACACAAAACCTGATAAAACCCTTGGCCAGAATAATTTTACACATAGTGCAGCGCGGCCGTATCGTTTGTGCTTTGTTCCAAATCTTTTCAGGGTTCACGGGTAGGACTACGCGGGAGGAGAGTATCGTTTGTGTTTTTCAGGGTTCCGTACCCAAACGGTAAACGGGACCCTATTACTAAACTTCACCGTCACCAAGCTGTGACTCATGAACCGTGATAGTTAGACAATTAACATTTTCACAGATGATTTGAATGGGGCTTCCATACAATAGACAAGATTTTTTTACGCCGTTTTTATAGATAATGGTACGGAACTCTGCCGAGGCGTGCTCAGGCGTAGTACCGAGAGACACCGGTGCGTTCCATTAGAGATCCCGAAGTCCCTCCAAATGTACAGAAGGTGGCCACCGAGGGGGTTTTAATGGTTGAGAACCTCACATAACCCCGTCATGAAAGGTGCCAGGGTATCCTCCGAAGGTTTCCGCCGATACAAAAAAAAGTCACCTGCTTCTCTGGGTCCGTGGTGAGGGGGCACAGGGCGGGCAGCACGCGGTTGGCGACCTCCGCCAGCAGGAAGTACTGCTGGGTGGCGGCCAGCGCGAGCACGCCCGCCTGCCGCGCCGGCGGGAACGCGTCCCGTGTCGCCCGCACGAAGGCGGACACGAGCACCTTCTGGCGGATCTGCGGGTGCAGGTGCGCCGCTATCTTGCCCAGGCACACCGTCGTGTTCGTCCTGCGCGACCGCGGGTGGGTCTTCTTAGTTTTTTTTTAAGGTGATAAGCTGCCAGTTCATCTGATGTTAACTGTTTTTTTTTTCGTTGAAAAGTTGCCAGTTCATCGGATGTGAACTGGTTTTTTTTTAGGTTTTTGCAAAAACCCCCTTGCCCTTGCACTACACAAAATTCGCGTCTTTCATAATATCAGTTTGTTGATATTATATAATGATATAACAATTGTCCATCAGTTAACACACTCACCTTATGCCGCCCTGATCGTCTTTGGATTGTAGCCTGGCGAAGTGTTTGAGCACTTCCACGTTCAGATTGTTGTAGTTGAGTTTTGAAGCTAAATGGATTATCGACTTTACAGTTTGTTCCCGTATAATGGAATTGGTGTCCAAGAATCCGTGCACGACTTGGGGGAAAATTTGATCATTCACCTGAAATGTAAAAGTTGAATTTGTATCCTGAACTAAAGATTAACTATAAAATTCATTAGCTAAATCGATATCTTTCCATTTTTTAAATTTTCCATTGTAAAAAGTCGCATTTGAGATAGTGTGTTTATGTGGCCCAGGGGATGCATATTCGAATCCTCGAGTGGCGAAAGATTTTTCGTCCATTTTCCTACAAATTTTAAATTTCATTCTAAATGCAGAGAATACCATATGGGTATTCTCTGCATTTAGAATGAAATTCAAATTAATATAATTCAAAATTTAATAGCAAAGATGACTCTACTTTTCACATATTGAGTTGTAAAATTATGTCATATGAAAAATTTACGGGTGACGCCAAGCGTTTCTAAAATCACAATCATTTTCCTGTCCTTATCCCACCTATGTGGGGTCGGCACAACATGTTGAACATGTTGTAAGCGGTTTTGGCTGTGATATTTACGACCGGCCTTACGTCAACCCACCTTTGGAATCAAACACCCAGATCCGGAACAATTAACTTAAGCCACTTAGTTAACAGAAGCCAATAGCTTAGCAACGGCGTCACCGTCATAATTTCTAAGGAATTTTCATTTTTCTAAATATTTTAATGTTCAATCTTAAGTGCAAAGATTAGTACCATAAACAATTTAATAATAATTTAAAAAATTTCTAAAAAGCAATGGCGACATATCTCGTTCGAATTATCGTTATAAAACGATATTAGAAATTGTTGTATGCTGGAAAGGATATAACAATGGATGTCCCAAGCATTACTTCAAATGCTAAAAAAACAATGTAGATAAAAGACGTTAAGATTTTCGTCGGTGTGGCAATCAGCCATTTAGCTAAGTGCCTAAAGCGTTAGGCCGCGAATGCCGAAGACGTGGGTTCGTTCCCACAGCGGCGACAATCTTTTCGTATGTTTTCTACATATTTTAAAGCATTTTCGTCGTAAAAATATACCAATCGAATTGAACCTCCTGCTTTTGAAGTCGGTCAAAAAGCATTTCGTATATTATATTTGTTTAAATGGAATCACTCACAGTGGTATTCTGCAGATGCACGATGAACTGGTCCAGCTGCTGCAGCAGACGGGAGCGAGTAGTGCGATCGTTGGACGCGAACAGCTTGACAACACACGGCACGATTTGCTTTTGGTAGTCCTCTTCGCCCAGAAGTTTGCCCAACTAGAAAGGTAACGTTGGAAACTATTATCTCCTGTACTATTAACATTGTACACTATTTGATTCCTGCCAAAACAGATTTGCAACTCCTCGATCTCTGTCTATCCCGACGTAGAAGATGCAAAGTATAGTCACCCGAGTCCGTGAGTTCTGTACGTAAGCAAATACATCGAGTTAACGCCTAACGCGTACTTGTAACAAATTATGTTCACAAAACCGTATAACAAATCTGTTCGCACAGACGAGCAGTCGGAGCAAGACGGAAAGCGAATAGAATTACAGTGCGAAAGAGAAGAACATCAACATCCATTTCAACATCTATCAGTGCCAGAGAGAGCTGAGGAACACTAACACTAAAAACATCAGGAACACAGTAAAAACATCAACATCCATTTCAACATCTATCAGTGCCGGAGAGAGCTGAGGAACACTAACACTAAAAACATCAGGAACACAGTAAAAACATCAACATCCATTTCAACATCTATCAGTGCCAGAGAGAGCTGAGGAACACTAACACTAAAAACATCAGGAACACAGTAAAAACATCAACATCCATTTCAACATCTATCAGTGCCAGAGAGAGCTGAGGAACACTAACACTAAAAACATTAGGAACACAGTAAAAACATCAACATCCATTTCAACATCTATCAGTGCCATAGAGAGCTGAGGAGGTTTTAACGCGAAAATGTCAAATGAGAATAATGAATAATGAGAACAATAAATGTCAAATGAGAATAACGAATAATGTCAAATGAGATTTTAGCACCGTCTGAAACATCAATGTTATTTAGATAGCATATTCATCCTCTTATTTGTAGTTACATTAAGTAAAGGATCTTTAAGAATGAATGAACTTTATTAAAAAGCTTCAAACATGTGGTGTCATCAACAATATTGTTTCAATTTATGTGGTTGAGTCATTGTAAATTGACCTTGCATAGTTAATTGATGAATTACTTAATTAACTAATTGAAATGAATTACCTTTGGCTATGTCAATTATGACTTCCCTCTGCAAGTTATTTATAGTTACAGCTATGTTAAGCAATTACTTTAAACAAGGGTGTATGCATTTTAAATGAAAAATTATATAACAAATCGACATTCATACATTGTAATGCTACTTAGAATTGCAAAATTGTTTTCTACTAATAACAAAGGAAAGGGAATTGTAAAAGAATTAACATATATACCTTAAACATTGGCGCTAAGACAGCAGATCCCGCATCACCATAATGAAAAGCAGTCAACAATTGAGGCAGAATTTTGTTGATGCAAACAGCCTCTGGGAAGTTGTCCAAATATGAACTGAGAGTGGAGAAAAATTTTGCCCTCTCAACTTTATCTTTTATTTGAATTTCTTCTAGGAATAACATTGTGTCTATCAGGTCGTTTTTGAAATAGCCACCGAGTTTTCGACATCTGTAACAAATAAATGTGTTTCTTGATTATATTTTTTTAATTGGGTATAAGGAAGGCTGTGTTAAAGATTCTTACGCTGCAATGGCTAAAACTGCACATTGCATGTGCAAAATATTATTAAAAAATTACAAGTGGATAAAAAAATATCGTGATAATATATAATTTATTGTTTTCATACCTGATATTGTTGTAAAAATATACCCAAAACATCATTTTAATGTATGTTTGTAAACTAAAAAAAAAATGAAACACAAACCTAGTTATGATATCTGCTGGATTTGGTCTAGATGCAGGATTGGCACTAACAAGCTCACAGTATAATGTGCAAAGCTGCTTTGGTATAAGATCAACTGTCTTAAGTGAGGGCTGGTTCATGAGTGGTCCATTAAATGCTTCCCAAATTAGGCAGCCCAATCCCCACATGTCTGTTGAGCTGAAATTTGCGTTAAAATACCTCATTTAATACAAATTTTACACTACACCGCTTACATTACCAGTCAAAATTTTTGAAAAAAAGAACTATTTTATACAATTTTAAAAACAATTCTACATATTATGGAAGTGTATGTGTAAATATTGTTGAGTTTTTCAGCATTCAAAATACATAAAGAAAAAGTATAAAATAAATAAAATAAAATAATTTATTTATTTTATTAGTTTATTTTAATCTTAAAAAGTATTATTGTTGTCAGAAAAAGAAATGTTACCATTTTGTAACTGACTTCAACTTGGTAGGATCCTTTTTTTCAGGTGGGTCATATATTTCAAGAGCTGGTAATATTTTAATAGGTATTGGACTCGAGGTATCTTGTCCTTGGGCTGTAAGAAACTCAAATCCTCCAAGTTTCCACTCCCCAGCAGATGTGACAAATACTGAGTAAAGGCAAACATTATTGTGTCTCATGTTGCCATCATTGTTGAAAAATGATAAAGCTCTCTAAAATTAAAAATTATATTAAAGTATCAATTAATATAAATAAATTAATTAAAAAAATATTTTAGGACACATTCTTGTTGACATATAACAGTAAAGAAAAGAGTTAATTAAAATAAAAAAGATACTATTAAAAAAAATTATGTACTATTCATCTTATAAATTATCCAAAACTTTTACTAAAAAAGTTGAAAAACTTTTTAAAACTGATTTAATTAAACTATTCTATTAATTTCCTGGCATTTCAAGCCAATGTTAAAAAGTAAAAGTAAGAGCAAAAAAAGATATTGGATAATCGGAATTTTTTTATGTTCATATATTTATTGTCATATTATCAACCCTCAAAATACCTTGAATACACAAAGAAAAACATTATCAATCTACAGTGGCCTATTATACTATGCTAAATTTTAGTTTAACAATTAGATAGAATGTTTATACAACAAGCCCAATTTTAGAAAACTTTTTTATATACACCATAAACCATAGAATTTTAACTAATGAAAACAATTTTTTTTTCTCAAAAACTATTGGCAACCATAGGATGCTGCTTATTGATTAATTTGTTGGTAATTTTTCCTTTATATTAAAATTTTTTTTAATTGCAATATCAACTTCGTAATTTACCAGCTCAGTTTTCCATTGAAGTCCGTCGAGTTGGTGGTTGATATTTTTTTAAAGGTAACATTATTATAAGCACACATGGAAAAAGTTTTGAAGAAAAAAAAATTGAAAAACCACATAATCTTGCCATGTTTGAATGGTGGCGTTCTATGGGGGAGGCCTACGTTTAACAATGGACATCTTGCAGCTGATGATGAATGGTGACCTGCTATATTAATCCGATTTGAAATTTGTTCTTAATTCTTTCAAATTGATTTTATTTAATTTCAAACACAAGAATAACACAGAAAAACAATATTTTTCCATTTTTAACTTTTTTCTGACATTCCTTGATTTCCCCCATAGTCTTCAAATAAAATAGGCTACATTCAACTTACGTCAAAGAACCAAATTGATTCACCCCAATTCCACCTGGTATGAGCCTGACCTACCCCTAGAGTGTTTTTAGAGCCTGAGGCTCATAGGGTGAGCGGCCTCCACCCGCTATTACAAACTGTAGGCATCAGACGAGCTGGAGCGGCTGAGGCCGACCAACAAGACCAAACAAGACAAGGACATACGTCTGCTATTTGTTACGCAAGAGCATAGAGGCTGCTCTTCCCGCAGTGCCAGAGATGTCTCACAAACGACACAAAAATCCGTCATAATAAGTAACTCTATTTCTTTCTGATTATGGTGAAACCCCTTCCCCTCCAAGGGGTTCCCCTTTATATTTTACACTTATTATCAATTTTGATCTATAAAATGAGGAGAATTTCTCGAAATAAAAAAAAACTCGAAAAGGGCTGGCTCTGCAACTTTTCTTCATAAGGTAGGGCAGTGATATCACCCCTCTCCCTACCAAATCGACGGACGTTAATGGGAAGCCATACCCATATATGCTGTCAGCATTTATATCGGCAGTATCTAATATACTCAATTACACATATTTATTTATGCCATTGAGGAAATTACTTACTGTAATTTGGAATATACCCCATGCGAGAAACAAATCTTTTTGTTGGCCCTCAAGTTTCATATCCTCTAAGTGAGTCACTAATGGTTCAACATACTCTGTAGCTACATGTAAATATTTCTCAGTTTCACAACTATCTAAATAATGTAGTAAGCTAGGGTGTCTCATAGTCTTGAGTTTTTTAAGAGAAGACTTTGCAATATCAAAGAGAGTCTCTGAATTTTTTTGAACATCAAATAAGAATATAGAAACTTCATCCTGTGTCCCTCTCTTTTTTCCCTTGTGTAATGACCATACTGATCTATCTTCTAAGCCTTGAACAGGATCCCCTATTTCATAGGGAAAGTCCTTCGTGGGATCGCGCGAAAAAAACGACCACATAATGCACAAAAGTCAATACACAGGTAGTTATTTACAAGTATTAAGTTATTTTATACACATTTTTGAGTGTTACGTATGCAGCATTAAAAATGAAATCATAGTTTAGGAAATAGACATTACTTTACCCACTATTAAGGTAATAGCATAATGATAGAAGAGGGAAATTGATATTAATTTAATAAAATTATAATTCATATAATACGAAAGAGCAATGACAAGTTGGTTATCATTATCACAGATGACACATAAGTACGGCATAACTGACACGTGTAGTACAGACCTAAACAATAGAAAATGAAACGTTTTTTTTGAAGTTATACTTCTTTACACTTGTTATTAATAAATGATGAGTGAAATTTTGACATGCACGCATATCACTGTAACACAAAAGTTACACCTTTGAAACTGCCCGCTAAACCGCTCATTTTTGAAGTTATACTTCTTTAATCTTTAGACGCGTTATGAAAAAACTATGAGAGTGAAATTTGAAGATGTAACACAAAAGTCACACCTTTGAAGCTGCCCGCTTATTTTTTATAGATGGCTGCATATTCTCAATCACATTCGCCCGTTACAGTTCTTATTAAAGAATGTAGATGGTTTCATAATTTAGCTCTACTTATGAACATTTGTATGCATAAATAGATTACATCTATTTACTCGAGTTCACTGTTTTACCAAGGTCAGTTTTTGAAACGATGTTTTGATTTTATTAATCAACTTGTTTTTCTTTTGTTACGGCAAAGAAATATAACTTCTTACGTATATAAGAACACACAAACGTTTTTATCATTGATATCTTTTTGCAGTCTTTTTATTATTCTATTATAATTAATTATTTGCATGCAATTCAAAAATATATTTTAATGATGCCAAAGGAGTATAAATTCTCAAGCGCGTATATAAGTACACACACATTGTTTTTAAATACGTTGCTAGTCAAATGCTCCCTCTGGGGTGGTAACTTACTTACGAACTTTTATATCAATTATTAAATTCGACGTTTCATAAGAAAGCGCAAGCATCTATTAAAATAAAGGTATTTTGAATTTTAAAATTTAATTTGGTTGCTCGATAGACACGGCCGGCCGAAACGGCGCACAGTGGTTCATCTTCATATAAGGAGCTAGACTTAGCAGCTTTAAAAATCAAAAACCCGTTTTGAAAATCTTTGTCAGAGTACACACCACCCTGTCTTCGGCTTTCTTCAGGACAGTGGAACAGGAAGCCCAGTTATTAGCTTTATGTTATTAGATCAATGGGTATCGCCCATTTGGTCTTTTGCCATCCACTTTCACAACTGCAACTAGTTTTTCAAAATTATCTGGATGCCTACGAGTGGTGTGACTAGAATAAGTTAGGATTCGTTGATAGCAAGTTGTGAAGAGCTTAGTCTTAATGTTTAGGTGGTCTAAAATGGACTTGTTGGTGTGTTTCGTTGCACACGGTACTCGGAACATGCACCTCCAGCACCACATTTTGAACGCTTCGATATTCCGGTCCACTGCGCGAATTGAGATTCGGAGCACTAAAGGAATATCGTGAATACCAGTTTCTTCACAACAGATATTTCTGTTTCATCAGATCTTCCACATTTCGCCCATAGTGGCTTTTCCCATCTGTCTCCGAATTTCCTTTTCACAGTTCTCCTGATCACTGATCATTGAGTCCAGGTACACAAATTCGTTCACATATGCCAGATCTGCCAGTTCCCCCGTTCTTGTGAGTTTGACGACAGCGGGTCCATTACTAGGAACTGTAGAACCACTTCCAGTCTTCCACTGTTTTCTCTATTCTGTATGTATAGCTTATGATGATATATTTATTACGATGCATAATGATGATTTGTCTGTTTGGAGAAATCCCTAGACGTTAAACTATGATAAAAAATATTTTTGATATTTAGGTAATAATTTTTTGACATTAGTGTTATATTTAGGTTACAAAAATAAACGGCGGTGATAATATTTGTGAAACTTCGGGTTCACAAAAATCATCATGTCTAAATCGGTTGCTAGACTGAAATCCATGAAAAAAGTAGCTGATAAAGTAGACCACTCCTCCAAACTGCGAACGAATATTCCAGCAGGTATGGCCGCTGCTGGACCTCCTTTAGGACCTATGCTTGGTCAGGTAACCATTGATTATAATTAACAATAACTATTTTAAGAAGAGAAATTACGTTATCTAGTGATGATTTTTTGATTTCAGCGAAATATAAATATAGCAGCATTCTGTAAAGATTTTAATGAGCGTACTGCGAATATCAAACAAGGCATACCGCTGCCTACTAGAGTTAAAGTTAACTCTGATCGGTCTTATTTAATGACAGTTCATCAACCCCCAGCTTCGTATTTTTTAAAACAAGCTGCTGGCGTGAACAGAGGTGCAATGTTTCCTGGTAAGTATAAAACAACTATATAGTGGTGGAGATTCCCCTAGCTTAACAATTTTATGGAATGCATGCAAGTAATTTCAACTTAGGTTAGTCAAGCATTAGCTCTCAGAAAATTAGCTCTCGGGCCTTCCGCTTCAGAGTGCAGGCATGGTTCAGAGAGACTATGAAAATGATTACATCTAGTTTTAAAATTAACTGAGGTAAAAATTATATTGATGATAAAAATTAAATGATTGAAAAAAATTATATGATTTCTATTTCTAGGCATTCCATGGTGCTACTCAAATTTATCATTTTGCTCTTACTTTATTTTCAATAATCTATCAACAGTTAGCATTTCATCATTTGCTACTATAGGACCCAATGATCTTTTACTATAAACTTTATTTGTATTCATTCATTTTAGACTTTTTGAAAAATCCCAATGGGGAAATAAATTACTTAAAACAATGCCTTATTTAAAATTACAGTAAAGGAGACATGTGGCAAAATTACTCTGAAACACATTTATGAGATTGCTAAAATTAAGTCTCAGGACCCACCGCTTGAATGGAGACCTTTAAAAGAAATCTGCACGATGTTGATAGCTACTGCTCGGACATGTGGCATTGAAGTTGTAAGAGAACTTAATGCTAAGGTGAATTTTTTTATTTGATTACGTAGATAATATCACATTTTAGATGAATTTGTTTTTGGACCACTTAATCAGAAATGTCAATATGATTTTAACTTGGGTAATATTTTGAATAAGGAGTCATATTTTATTTCAAATATATTTCATTGACAAACTTAGCTATAAGAATTAGCGGGCAGCTTCAAAGGTGTGACTTTTGTGTCTTAAAATTTTACTCCTCATTTTTATAACGCGCCTAAAGAAGTATAACTTCAAAATGGATGCGTGTACTTACGCGTGAGTAGTTACGCTTCTATGGCATCATGAAAAAATAGTTTTTAATAGCATGCAAATAACAAAAAGACTGGAAAAGTATGTACATAATAAAATTTATGAAAGCGCCATCTACATTCTTTGTAGGGAACTGTAACGGGCGTATGTGATTAAGAATATGCTGCCATCTAGCGGTGTAGCGAGCAGCTTCAAAGGTGTGACTTGTATGCGCGCGCATTTTAAAATTTCACTCTCATCATTTTTTCATAACGCGCCTAAAGAAGCATAACTTCAAAAATTCCTGGCCAGGCTATGATTAATTAAAAAAGACATTTTATTTAATTTATTATTTAAAATTTATATTGAACTCGTAAATCGAAATTATCTCTTGAACTCATCGAGCTTATAGAATGTACAAACGTTGGGTTGACAGGTATAAACAATGATTTAGAAAATCTTATATCTAAATAAGCGCTATTTCATTGTGCGAACAATAAGGTTGTCTGCAAAAAGTCTTGTCTGAATGATGGTTGTCGAATTTTAATAACTGTAATAATGAATGTAAACTTGCGAAACAGATCCGAGCGATACGCTTGTTGTTTGTGTACTGTTTCAAAATACCAATAGTATTTTGAAACACCGTATTTTGGCTTTTGGCTTTGTTTTCCTGATTTTGATTAGTTAGTCGATTTGGAATTATTGACTTGTTAATTTGGGTTGGTGGTGATTTAAATTGTTTTTATTTGATTGTTCCGTTGTTTAGTTGATTCCGAACGGTAAAACGGGACCCTATTACTAAGATTCCGCTGTCTGTCTGTCCGTCTGTAACCAGGCTGAATCTCAACTAACTAAAAAGAAGAAAAAATATTTAAGTGGGCCCAGATAACAGACATGATGATTTTTAGATAATGGTCTTGTATCTTGTATTTACTGAGGTTTTTGCTTTCAGTCCCGAGACTATTAAAGCTTCATCTGACGCAGAATCGGTGGGCTAGTCAGAACCCACGGCTGTGGGTAGGGCGGCGAGACCAACACAACGCGTACACAAGGTACACCCGCGTTCCAGGGCGGTTCTCACCGCCCCCAGCCACCGATTAGCTAAAAACACAGTCGACGGCCATCGGGGTCTCGGTCCGCACCGCAACTTCGATGGTCCTTAGATAACATGTCGTAGTTAAACGCACGCATGAGCACATGCGCGGCCCTACCCACAGCGGAGGGCCCAAACCCGTGGGTTGTGGCTAGCCCACCGGTTCTGCGTCAGATGAAGCTTTAATAGCCTCGGGACTGAAAGCAAAAACATCAGTTAATACAAGATACAAGAGACAAGATTACGCGGTCCACTTCCGTTAGGTGGGGTGTATCGATGTGTTCGCGCGATGGCGTACATTGCTGCTCTAGGTTGTCCCCAAGACATTCGGCTTTTTCGGAATCATTTAGGGCTACTGAAGCGCTACTATGTCTAACTTACGGCGGTAGAGATTCGCGGGGGTCAGCTTTCAGACTACGGGCCACCCGCCAGTAGGCGGTGTGCGATGGCTCGATGTCCTCTAGGAGAGTGTCCCACGTTGTATGTCGGTGTTCTAGCTAAAGGCGTCGAAGTAGAGTTCGGTTCGATTCCGATCGGTATCGGTCGAAAGTGCGTTTGGCTGGGCTGCATTTTTCTGCCTTATCAGCAGTCGCAGGTCGGGCGGAAAGTTAAACCGCCGGTCGCCCGACAGTTTCACCGTCCGTTCCGAGTCTACGACTGCAGAGTGATGGTTAGATAATGGTACGGAATCCTTCGAGCGTGAGTCTCACTCGCGCCTGGCCGATTTCTCTTGGTTTATTTAAATGCCATTAAACGTAAATCAAGCAGGATTAATAAACGTATGGTTGCAGATGCGTTGCCACAATAGAATAAAGTGAGCACCGGCTACCTCACCAGACGAAACGCGGAAGTATAACACTTCCACTTCACGTTGGTCTTCTGTAAGGTCGTGGTATTTACCCAGGCGGACTTGCCCACTCGTGCAACAGTCTGCACATCGCAACTTGCTGTTTTCATTCAACACTGCATAATTGTTTTAAAATGTAAACAAACAAACCTTACATGTAATAATTGCGTTTGCCCTTCTTTTGTAAACAGAAACATCTGTCGGCGAAGCAACGGTGATTCAGTGGCATGATACATAGGGCTTCAATAGGGTTTCAATATTCTATTTACAGATAGATTTGGTTACCAGCATAAGGTATAACTATACATGTAACATACTATGTATATATGTAATACCTACGCTAGGTATTTGACATTAGTTCCATAATACCTACGTCAAAATTTTATCTCCAGTAAACAAATCTATCTGTAGATAGAATATTGAAACCAGCCGTTAGCCATCCCATTCGCGATTTATTTTCTGACATACAAAATTAAAAAAAAAGAACATTTTCATCGACTGAACAGATGAGTGAATGTTGTTTTTACTTCGTATCTTAGACTATTTTAAGTATTTTGCAATTAATCGCACTGACTTATTAGTGTATTAAATTTGTATATGTGTGATCAAAATGCAGAGTATGGCGATAATTCATTCCGTTTGTAAATCAATGTAGGCAAAGTAATGTAATAATAATTTTAACTACTAAAAGCAGTTACTAAGTTAATTAATTAATAATGTTTTAGGAATATGGTGAGTTCTTAGAAGAAAGGAAACAAGTAGTAGAAGAACAGAAGAAAATGCTGCAAGAAAAGCGCGAGGCCAAAATGTTGAGAACAGCATAATAACTTGTAGTGTAATTGTAAATATGTTTGTGTAGATAATAACATAGATCAAATAAATAAACAAATTTATAGGTATTCAGACCTTTTTATTTACTACAAAAAACAAATTAATTCCACTTAAAATAATTTTTTTCACAAGCTTCATGGTTTCTATTATGTCATTTTCTTATTTTTAAGGTAAATTGCATTATTATTAATGTCTATCATAGTTGTTATTATTGCAGAAATATGTATTATGTAATTGGGTGAAAGGAACACATGACTATACTATAAGAACAGATCAGTCTACATTTACCCTCTATGGCTACCACTAAGAATTAACAACACCAGGTCACAACATATAATAAAATATTTTTTATGATAACACTATTTACAAGCATAATTTAATGAGCACCTAAACGTTAATATTTAGCCTCACTATTAAAAACTCTTTTACTCATTAATTATCACAAAGTACAGTCTGTTAAAAATATTACAAATCAAATAGAGCATTTACTAAAAATAAATTGATTTCTTTGTTCTAAAATGTATGTCTCTTAGCTACATGTATTATAAGACAAGTATTATTCATGACGTGCACAACCCCAAAGCGATGTTTTACCATTGCTTATTTGCATAGCTTCAAATTTTATCTCAAAACCATTCCAAACGTATGGTCTGGAAATCACGTTTAGACTATGCATATAAAACTTATTAATTTTTTAAAAATAAATTATACTTTGGAAGCTCATTTAAACACATACCTAAAGGTTACAAGAAGGCAAGATTAATAATTAAGTTTAAATAATGCCCTATTGTATTACATCATTTTTAACATTACAAATGGACGAATTTGGTTAAGATAGAGATGATTTATCATTTAAAAAATATAAATGTTTTTAGGATAAAAAAATTGCCATTGCTTATACTGAAGTTGCATTACTTAATAATATAAAAATATTTACTTCTCTTACTTAATTGAATATTACATATGGTAATAAAACTTAATACGTTTTTGCGGTTGATTTATTTATTTCTTTTTTATTTTAATCTCGGACCTTACCATAGACTGTCGGCGGCAAGAAAAGGAACAATAAAAAACCGTTCGAAACGAGGTTGCAACGGTAAAATGAACTATATTTGTACTACAAATAACATATTGTACTTTAAATACTGTAACTTTATAATGACCCAAGTATTGAGGAATGTATTTTTCTTATAGATTGCAGTTTACACGTTATTAAGATATGTATGATGTTAAATTTACTCATCATAACTGATTGTTAATTAAATCCAATATTCTTCTTAATAAAAGAATATAATTATGTTAGAAATTACTACGTAACTCATGAAAAAAAAATTAAAGTCACTTTAACACTTCATTCTAAATAAAACATACCCTTGGATAAGTATCCAATATAGTACAGTACTAAACAATGTAAAGATATCCCATACTTTCTAGATCCATTTGGAAGCGTCACACCATTTTTTATGAGATGTAAAAATAATTTGACCTATAATTAATAGGAGAAATCTTTATAAAACGTATACACTAAACCTTGTGAAACTCACTTTGGCGACATCAACAAACATTGGCAATATGAGTTGAGCGTTTAAGTTTAGGTGAGGCTGGCAATACCTCTGGTAGTTCAGTAACCTTATTGATCGTGAAATCCGGTAAATCCGATTCCATCTCGTCTTTTTGCAGTGGAATCCACACCGTGCCCCCAAGTTCTGCTTCTTTTCCACCCTTTAAATTAAAATAATCACGCTGTATCAACTATGTTGAGTGGGAGGATTTTTTTGGTCGGTTTTTTTCTCATTATACTTAGTAAATGTTATGCAAAGACTTGAAATGAAGAAAGAAATAAAACGAATATTGTACACTAACAACGGATATTGAATAATCAACAAAAAATAATACAAAACTGTACAATAGGCAGCCTTATAGCTAAAAAGCGATTTTTTTCCAATAAAAAAGTAAAAGGAGATAATAAAAACAGTAGTTTCGGGTAACAGTGTACACTAAATTGATAACAGAAACTATTAAGTCAAAATATAAATACATGAAAAACAAAATAGAAAATATAAATACTTCTAATGTGATAAATGTTATTTCTATTAAAGTAGTACTTTAATATGTTGAACTTCAAATCACAAATAATAATAGAAACATTTTAAGGCCTATAAGGCCGATGATGATGAACCTTGTCAACGTAAAGACGCCAATTTACGACAATAAATTCTTAAATTTATAATCACTTTTGCACCTCGCCTAAGTATTTATTAATTTCAGTACACATACTCATCACTGAGGGGTTGAACTCGCCTCATAAGTTTAAAATAGCAAGATCCCAGCATTTCCAGAGTTGGTTATCACCACCTGTATCATCTCCGGTTGCCTCAGTCACCAGAACAAATGCAAAATTATAAATACTCTCACTTTACATCAGTCTTCTATGAGACCTAAACACTTCTCATAACAATCTCTATAGCTATATTGTTTCTTAAAGTTTTTTCCTTGATAGACCATAATTATTCATAAAATTTAACGATTCAAACGCCTTTTAGTTAGTGCTCATCATTATTGACGAAATAAATAAATAGCTCAGTAAAATAAAATTAACATAATCATAAAAAAAAAAGTTAAAAACTTCTTATAAAGATTGTATGATAATGCCATCTATTGACCATTTGTTTAAATGAAAGATAGTGAAGTGGACTTAAAAAATCAGTCTTCATTAGGGGGATCTATTCTTGGGCCTTTTCTCTTCCTCATCTACATAAATGATCTGCTCATCTACTTAGAATCATCAATAAGTAAATCTTTTATGGGACAATGTATATGTTATTAGAATAAAATCCCAGAAAAAATTACACAGGCTCTTTCAAGTGGAATTTAATATATTGTATACATGGGTAATTTTATGTCAAATTATGTTTAAAAAAAAAATCCCGGCGAGTTTATTTCGCCGGTTCTTCTCAGGTAAGTAAGTTTTTTCCGAACCGGTAGTAGTGTTTATAAGAGGCAATTAAGTGTAATGCTTCTATATTGAATAAAAATATTTGAATTTGTTAATTGAGACCCATAAGAAATATTCACACAGTTTAGTCAGCTAATGGTAATATGCTAATTTGTACATAAGTATTTATCAATGAAAGGTATCTTCTAATAGAAAAGCATTCATCATCATCATCATTTCAGCCTGTTTGAGTCCACTTCTGAACATAGGCCTTCCCCACAGACTGCCATGAAGTACGATCCTGAGCCAACTGCATCCATCGACTTCCCGCACATATGCACAGGTCGTCTGCGATGGCCAGTACGGGGCTGCCACTCGAGAACCTTTCTTCCCCAACGGTTATCGGTTCTACGAGCTATATGGCCGGCCAATCGCCACAGAAAAGCATTAAACATTATTATATCAATTACCTTTATATCGGTCTCCAGTTTATCGCCGACCATTATGCATGTGCGGGCTTCAACGTTGAGGAGCTTGCAGGCTTCCAGGAAGATGTTCTGGTCGGGCTTCTCCCACGGCAGGTCGCCGGAGACCAACACGCAGTCGAAGTACTTGCGCAGATCTAGACGCTTTATCTTCTGCCACTGAGCCCGCGACGGCCCGTTCGTGATCAGACCGAGTAGATAATCCTCCCTGTGCCACATTCATCGACCAGGGTTTCGTTATTCCATGGCGGATACCATGCTGAAACTCAGCACATGATACAAACAAGTTATGAACGCCCTTGCGCCTTCAGTTGGTCTGAAACGTGCAAGGACGTTTTATATCAATCACTTGTCAGGGCACATCTAACTTAAATTGTTCGTAATTTATATGTGAAGAGCTTAAATATAAAAGTGATGTGTTGACTGTTGTACCAATGCATATGGCTGAATGTTTCTAAAAACGTCGTCAACATAACACCATACTTAATATAAAACTTTTGTATAACTGTGGAGATATTTTTCCCGGCCCTTTAATTGCTTAGTGCTACTAAAATGAACCTACATTTTTAACAAAACCAAACACAAATTAGTTGATGGTAACAGTGCATCAAATTATCTCCATAATTATATTGAAATTTTTGTGGCAATCATTATTACCTTCTTCGTGTCGCCCTCCCTCACATATTTTACAAATACAATTCAAACCTAAGTGTTGCGCACGCGGCGCCCCAAGTTTAGTCACTCCTTGAGCAACAACTGAACTGTTGAAAAACAAGTCATTTATTAGCAACATGCGATTAAAGTCAAACCAAGATAGTTGTAGATGCATTGTTGTATAAACCAGACTTAAAGGAAATTATCAATAAGAGAAATATGCCTTCACAACAAATTGGTGTTGACTTCCTCATGATACATCAAAATCAGCGCCTACCGCACTGAAACACAGTATTATGTGGCATGCAGTGTTCAATGAATGATGAAATTTGATTAAATGAATCAATGACTTCTCATCAACCCGTTGCATTTTTAATCCATATTCCAAATATATCAAAACAATGATAAACTAGTTATTTATGTATCAGAAAAACAGTACTTACCACATAACACCATGCAAAATAGTGATAAAGTTCTTAGATTATAAATTTGCAGTGACAAAACAGTATGAACTGGAAATATATCTATAATCATAGAACAATGAAAATGGTGAAACCTAAATGAGAAGGCAATATCTTTGAATAAAATTAATGACATATATACAAAAAAATACTTTAATTTTAGACAAAATTCAATTATTGACAAAGATATTACCAGAAAACAAAATAGTATCATGAAGAAATATTTTAATGAAATCAAAATTAAATGAAAATGTTGATAGTGTGTCATTAAATATTTCTGCATAACATAAATTTACACATAATTTAATATTCATATTCATTTCACATACCGTAATGTTTCTAAGAGATGTATAACTTCGGGAGTGAGAGCTAAATATTGAAATCGTAATTTTAACCATTCCTCTGATACATTTTCTGTAAGGAAAACATATTACAGTTGAGTAATTCAATGTTGACTCTTAAGACAATTGAGAAATATTTAGGAATAATATATTGCTACACAGGTTGAAAATGTGTTTACAAGCCAGTGGGTCCTTCACATAGCGACGATTTATTTATAAGGTGTGGTGTGTGAAGCTATTATGTGAAATTGGACCATAACCAATAGCAATAAAGCCTTATTTAGTTTCATGTTAATATGTAAAACAAGTTATTTTATTACTCAATTATAGAGTTTGATTTATTATACCTTTAATACTTAAGACACGTTTTAAATGAAAAATCTCATTAAAGAGCGATTTCTTATATTTACGTGAATACATACTAACTAGAATTTTATTCCTCAATTTCCATGACCGCGGCTTTAGTACAGCGTTGAAAATAGCGGCGCTATAAAAATAAAATCAGTACTATGCTAATCTTAGCATGGTCGGAAAATTTTATGTACGTTCAAGCAAACTGATTCATTTGATAAAGCACTATCGCTGAATCAGGTGAAATTTAAGTGCAAAAATATTTGTTGGAAACATATCTCCAAGCTCGTTCTTATGTTCTTGCTGCGAATAAAATCAGGCAGTCATTAAAATGTGCAACGCACTAGTTCACGTTCTTGGATCCATGCCAGGCCTAAAGCGAAAATTACGCTTTTGAAGCGGTTAATTACAGCGCGTTTTCAACGATTGCAAAACAAGGCCCCATTAGCTTTCGCTTTTCACTGCATCTTTGAAAGGGACTAGTTTTAATTATGAATTATTTGTGTTGATTATATATAATTATTAATATTAGTTAAGTAACTAATTTGAATAATGTGATTAATAACGTACATAAAAAGATAATAGGAGGTATATAGTGATAATTATTGTAGCAATTAAAACGAGGTTGAACTAGCTTGTGATCCTTTGCAACGATTGTTGTGTAGTACTTTTAAATTGGGGACGCGCAGTAAAAGTAAACAATGACTAAGTGTTCCATGTCAATTGATATTACATTGAATAAAAAGTAAAATATTTAATATTAAAAGCATTCAATTTAGTGTTAAATTTATTGTTCAGTTTAAAATGTGTTAGGATGTTTTCACATGTAATTACAATTAAAAGTAATGACTATACAAAAGGTTACAAGTAGGTATAATATAACCCAGTAGCATCATCAGAGGATGAAAATGTGCCTAGTTTAATGGGTTACATTTTCAAGACATGGATTATGGTAATTGAAACCTTGGTACTTTTAAACATTGGCATACGGTTCTACTTAATTTATTTATCTGCATCTTTCATTTTCACAATTTATTCTTTCAATTTTATAATTGCAAACATAACACTACACTATTTTCCTTCTCATAACTAAATACTCACTTGCAATATGTCTAAAGTTCTTTGGTAGCGAGTTGCGCCACAAGTGAGCGGGCCATTCATCGAGCGCGTAGGATTCATCGTCGGGCTGTGCTCGGAAAGACCGCAGGAAAGTTGTAGCGCTCTCTGACGCAACGTCACGGGGCAAGCCATACTCGTGATGCAATATCTCCACTAGCTGTGGGCGTTCAGTTCTTTATTTAAAACCATGAGTACGCGAACACTTTTTATACCTTTGTTAAAACGCAAAAAGGTCCTATGGTTTTCTGTCTAATTTCTTACCAAAACTGGATCTTTAATGGTGAACTGAGAACGATGATGACTTAGTCGTTACCGTCGATTTTAGGTATGAGGTTTGAATCCCAGGAGCAAACAAAACTAAGATTTTTTTTGTTTAAGTATTTTTCTATTAACTAGTTTACAGTTTAGTTCCAAATAGGCGATAATAAATACTTTGGTTAATTTGAATTAAATAAATGAATGTGCCTATTGGGAATTCAATTATATGTCACAAAATATTACTTTTTCTAGTTTGATGTTTTTTAATGAAAAAATGGTAAGTGAGCTCACGGTTCATCTGATGTTAAATGGTTACCATCACCCATGGACAACTGCAAAACACGTAAGGTTACATATTCATTGCCACCATTATTAATACAGTGTGTCCCGGATGCCTCACACACCAGATGAAAAGCAGAAGTGTAACACTTGTGCAGGTTTTCTGCGAGGCCACGGCACTTCCCTGGACGAGCCTGCCCATTCGTGTAGTAGTGAAGACTGCCGCATGGCCCTACCACAGCAACCCTTGATTAGCATGGATTATTAGTAATTAACTGAATCATGTACTAGTTTAGGTGATTGAATATAGTTTACAATTTAAATTTATTAAATAAAATTCACAGTTTCTTAAATAACAATTATTATTAAAATTGTAACAAAAAGCCATGTAAATACACAAAGACTTTTTAAGTCAATTATACTTTTAATATTCGAGAATAATGTCATATGAGGAAATCATTTTAATCATAGTCAAATTGTTAATAAATAATGTATTTAGTTTTTAAATACACTTCCTTTTAACAAGAGAGATTGTGAGATTTTAATAGTGTTTGTACATTAAATGTGTCAGGAAGTATCTGTCTAAGTCAGGAATAGCATGGGGTCAATGCTCTGAACATCTGCGTTCAGTCACCTGTCCCTTGGCAGAATCTCAACTGAAAGCCGATCCTAAAATAATTAAATAAAACAATAACTTCCTTGCTTACCTAAAAACAGAAATGAAATAATATTTAAGGGTGAAGTGTATTAAGGAAGTAATAACTAAATAGAGTATGTTTTATGTATTTAAGGTTCATAGGATGAGATAATAAATTGATCTGTTTTGAAATTGTTTATTAATTAAATGTTCATTAAGTGTTTACAAAATGGTATCAGTGTAACATAATGCAATACACTAATTACTTACTTTATTTACACAATACAAAAGAAAAATTTGTGAAAAATATAACACTGGTTTTTAAGTACTGCCATTTGGGTGGTCCACTTTTAAGAATGTTTTTAGTCTCCAAACAGCTTCTTTCCTAAATCCATTAGCCGATGATTCCGGCACATCTTAAGAGCTCCTCCTTTCTTTAGTACTGCCGTTACACTTTCATTAGAATCAACTAATCTGCATAAGAAATCTTCAAATGCAGATTTGACATTAGGTGGTAAGGTTCCAACCTTGACTTTTGCAAGCATCTCGGCAATACCTTCAGCCCATCCACTTTCAATTGCAAATTCAGAAATCCATGGTACTATAGTTAGTACTCCACTCATTGTCTGCATGCCCAAAAACCATAGGTCTGCTATCTCATTCCAGTGTTCTTTGTATGCCATTGACACCACAAGTGCATTGGGGTCATTTGATTCATCAACATTGTATGCATCCCAGAGGAATCTTATAGTAGACTGAATGTATCTACAAATTGAGAAATCATTTTTCTTGAGTTTACTGCTTTGCTGTTTAAGTAAGAGTAGTCCGAGTACTGCTAAATGCCCATGAAGAACCAAGTTTTCTGGAATGTTCTTCAGTTCAGGCAAATTATTAAATATGAACTTAAGAAGAGTATTAAACAACATACTATTCTCAACTACTTTAGGAGCTAAAACAGTAAGGTTCATAAAAATATTACATAAGCTAACCATAGCCGCTCTTGAATCTCTCATATCATCCAAAACTTTAGGATCTAATTCTGGTTCAGGCTGAGTTCTTGCTTTTCCCCTTTCAGATTTAGGTATGGGTGGCTTTTTGTAATGAACAATTGACCAATGGAAGTTCATAGCTTCGTAAAGTATATCTTCTTGTTTCAAATTCAATACTATATCTCTAGCTTTGTCTTCCACAACTAGATGACAAAGAGCAGGAAGCATTAAACGCAATAGATCTATTTGACCTAAGAGACTTATTTCTGTGTCCATTGGTTCTCCCTCTGATTTTGTTTTCTCAGCAAGTTTTCTTGCTCTGTATGCATGGAAAGAATCATTAGCCAGTGTAAACATAAACGGCATGAGGGTGTAAATTTGTTCTCTCATAGCTGTAGTTTCTTGTGCAATCCATGCAACCAAAACCCTAACCATAGCACAAACAAACACTTTCTCAGTATCCGGGAGTTTGTCACGGTTTTTATCATTTGAAACTTTTGATAGTAGGGAAACAACAGCATTAAAGGCACCTTTCAGGCTGGTGTACACTGATTGTTTTTCCTTTTGTTCTAAATCCAGTTGGTCCATAGCCATATAGTTTATGGATAATTCTAATACAATAAAGCAAGATGTAACCAATTCTGCATTGGCATATGCTTGTTTTAAACTTCTATCTTCCAGCTGCATTCTAACTTCAATTGCACATAATTGTAGAAGCAATAAGAAAAACTTCTTTGGATTCTCTTCATCATTAAATGTCCATTCAACTCCCAGTAGTTCTATGATGTTTGCTGCTAGTTTAAGAGCGGGATCTCTTTGATTCTTGCCAATTTTACTTGTCAATATGTCATAAAGAGCCTTGTAAATACTCAGTGGCCAAGTTTCATCTGCTGCACCAGGCACAATTATGAATTTATTACAGCTGTAGAGAAGAGCACTCAGAATTGTAGCCAATTCAAATTTCCGCTCGGATTGATCAGTGGCAAAGTCTAACGCAATTTTATTAACTAAGGCATGAAATGGTTTAGGATCATTACCCCAAGCAGCTGGACCATAACGACTAACAAGTTTGACTAGAATATTGAGAGCTTCATCAGTTTGGAAACTCTGATGAGAATAAATTTCAGACATTTTTGTTATAGCCCCAACTTCAATTAGCGCTTTTTGACCAGCTTCTTGTTCTGCAATACATTGAAGACATGTGTATGCTTCACTAATAATGATAAGATTGTCATCGTAGTCTTCATTGTCTGATGTTTGCACAATGTCCAAGAACACAGGTATATTTGCCAGCATTTCAGGATGAGTAGCAAGTTCAGGTTCATTGCAAAAGGTGGTTAGAATGGAAAGTGCAACAGATTTATATACCGATGGCGGGCAGTCGTCTTCAACATTGTTACTAGTTAACAATTTTTTCAGGAATTTAAAACCGATTGCTTCAAACAGTGCTTTTTTCGCTTGAGAATTACAGTCCTTGCCCTTCACCAACTTTGTAACCATGAACAGCGCCGCAAACTTCTCGGTGTCGCTTTTCGCAGACTTCAGAATAAGAATGCATTTTTTAATCGGTTCCGATATGTCGCCCATTGTCACAAGTTTGTACACGAAACGAACACGAAACGCAACAGATCGCGCTCCACTGAGAGCAGCAGTTGATTCGACCGAACACTGTCTACATCACGTTTATAATTAGCACGAGTTCTCTTCCAAAATATCTAAATCTGGCTGCCTAGCTCACGTTCTCCAACTACGAAAATTCTATTTATAACACACTGGAGCGAGAACACGCGGATTGCAAGCAGACGAAGCAATGTAGAGGACTAGAGGATATCAACGACGTAAAAGCGAGCGATGACAGCGCGCGCAGTGCTGATTCGTTTCGAACTTCCATGACCGTGGCAATGTCACAATGATAATTTTGACAAAATTATATACAAACCTTATTGCACGTCCGGCTATCTCCTTTCCTTGTTTGTATCAATGTATTGTCCAAATCAAAAAATATGGCGGAAACATCACAATTTTCTTCATACTCAGTATTCATATTACGAAATATATTTAAATTATTGTAATGGTACGAATTAGTTGCGTCAATCACTCGTTTGACTTACTTGCCCTCGAATAACACTTACAAATCTTACAATCAAGTAAATGCTGATTGCTCCCTCTCCCAGCAATAAATGTAGTTGAAATTTTCCATCTTTGTAGAAGAAACTAAGATTGTAGTGCCATCTTTTGTGTTTAAACAAAAACTTTGTAGTCACAGGTTACATGACTGTTTAGAATTGCATATTGTTATTGATGTCACTCGCTAGATGGCATATAAATAAGTTATATCCTAACAGTAGAGGTCCGGTCCGCTAAGATGCAATATTTTCGGAAGATGCAGTATTTTCAATTTTTTTATTCGAATGGATTTCATGTAGAATAGACCACTAGTATTTAAAAAAATTGAAATACTGTAATTTATTGTAAAAAAATGCGGTTTCAAATAGGGATGATGCAAATTTAGTATTTTTCAATTTTTTGTGACTAAAATGTTAAAGAATCAAAAAAAATTGGCCTCTGCAACATTTTCATTATGTTTTATATAGATTTTTAACAAATAATACGGATCAAAGTAACGTGAAACGGAACGTTTTTTAAAACGCCAATCAGCGTTTAGTGACGTCATTCCTGTTTTGCCAGTTTGTAAAGGTTAACATTGGAAAGGTAAACATTGTTTGTTTTGCGAAATTTAATTGTATTTTTGAATAAAAATGGAGATTGGGATTATAAAAGCAGACTCCAGGAATTTACCGGAAGTTAGTGTTGACATGGTTATGAATGTTTTTGTTGAAAGTGCAGAGTTTTCAAGTGTAGAAATGAAAGGGATTAAAATGTTACGGTATGTATAAATCACAGTGAGACTTTGTATTTCATTCAGCAGCTTCTACATTTAGCTGTTATTTCAGTTCAACAAGTCAATTTTGTGGCGACAGCGCTATCGGTTATGTCCAAATCAAAACAGATGGAGATGACGTCTGATATATCTGATAATATGAACATGGTTTTTTCCCATTGTGGTTTGAGTTAAGGTAGTATAGATTCTAATATAGTTTTATTTATATACTCATTTTATATATTTACAAAAGTAAGTTTTCATACATACATAGCATAACTTTATAAGCTGTCAAAACAGGAATGACGTCATTAGCTCTGATTGGCGTTTTAAAAAACGTTCCGTTTCACGTTACTTTAATCCGTAATAAGTATTTGTTAAAAATCTTTATAAAACAAAAAAAAAATGTTGCAGTGGCCAATTTTTTTATGACTCTTTAACATTTTAATCACAAAATATTGAAAAATATTAAATCTGCATCCACCCTATTATGTTGTGTTTTTATTTCCTTTGTACTAAGAAAGAGATAAGGGAAAAATCATTTTTCAAATATTCACAATGCCTTAATTTTTCTTATGAATAAAATAATGAAAAAAGTATATATAATACACAATTATTTCTTGAAATAGATATATTTTCATTTAAAGGTAAAAAAGTAACAAAAAAAGAATAGGTAAATTTTAAAATTAATAATAAATTTTATTTTTGTACTAGTTTCTGTACTCAAGATAAAAGTTTAAATTGTAAATTTTTGTACATAAATATAAAAAAAATTTCGGCGTCGCGGAATCTTGTTTTCTTCTTTTCCACGGTACCACAAATTATCATTCTCATTTCTAATCTCATTAAATTCAAAACACATAAAAAGTGTATTGGGTTTGGGTCTTTTACAAAATACTTGATTACCCTGTTATGATTACTATTTGTGTTACCTCGTTATAATTATTAATACGGTGGTAGGGCCACGCAGCAGCCTCGGCTGTTGCATGAATGGGCAGGCCCGTCCGGGTAAGTACCACGACCTCACAGAAGACCAGCGTAAAGTGGAAGTATGACAAATACTTTCGCGTTTCGTCTGGTGAGTGAGGTAGCCGGAGCCCAATTTTCAAAAGGTTGTCAACGCATCTGTAACCCTCGGGTGTGGCAGATGTCCATGGGCGGTGGTATTCACTTAACATCAGGTGAACCGTCTGCTCGTTTGACAACTTTTCGTAAAATAAAAATATATTTAAAAATATTATGTGATTTGATTAATTTTGTTTTTCTATGTCTTAACGATTTTTCTACGAATTTTTTAACGGCTGCCCTGTTAATTATATTTTCAACTAGTGTACGCTTTCACGTATTATATTTGTATTTTATATGTTTAAAGACCTAGCAGCAATAGGCCCTCTATGATTGGAGCTATGTAGGCGGGATGATAAGTAACTAGCCATTGCTATTTAAAAAGTTAAAATTAAAAAAATATATGTGTCATTTTTAAATTCGTATCTCTGGTCACCTGTTTTCTAAATTTGAATTAGGTGGCGTGAAAATTTTATTGTTTTTTTGTCATTTGAAAATATATTTCGTCAACTATTTTCAAAATGGATAAAATTGAACAGAGAGCGGTGATAAAGTTTCTTCATATGAAGGGGATGAAGGCGAAAGATATCTATAACGAGTTAAAGAATGTTTTGGGTGAATGTGCTCTTTCTTATGCCACAGTAAAAAACTGGGTGGCTGAGTTTAAACGCGGTCGTACATGTGTCCAAGATGAAGCCCGCCCCGGACGTCCAAAAAGCGTTACGACTCCGGAAATGGTCGTGAAAGTACATGATATGGTTTTAGCAGATCGACGATTGAAGTTATCTGAAATAGCTGACACTACAGGTATCTCAAAAGAACGGGTACATCATATCCTAAGTGAGGAATTAAATATGAAAAAGTTATCGGCACGTTGGGTGCCGCGAATGCTTCCGCACGATCAAAAAAGGATTCGGGTGCAAAACTCAAAAGAATGTCTGGACCGTTTTCAGAGTAATAAGGCCGATTATTTACGTCGATTTGTAACAACAGATGAAACATGGGTTCATCATTACACGCCAGAATCAAAAATTCAATCAAAACAGTGGACTCAATCGGGATGCCCGGCTCCAAAAAAAAGCCATGGCTGTAAAGTCGGCTGGAAAAGTGATGGCTTCCGTCTTTTGGAATGCAGATGGCATTTTGATGATAGATTACCTTGCTAAAGGTCAAACAATTAATGGTGAATACTACGCTAATCTTCTTGATAAGCTTCATCAATGTATTCAGCAAAAACGACCAGGTTTGGTGAAAAAAAAAAAATCATCTTCCACCAAGACAACGCTAGGGTTCACACATGTGTTAAAGCTATGGCAAAAATCAACGAATTGAAGTATGATTTGCTGCCTCACCCACCTTATTCGCCTGATCTAGCGCCATCAGACTTCCACTTATTCCCTAAGCTCAAAACTTTTTTGGGCGGAAAGAAATTTGCCACAAATGATGAAGTCATAGCCGCCGTAGAGGAGTATTTTGCAGGCCTCGAAAGAAATCATTTTCTGGAAGGCATTACTGCTTTAGAACGAAGATGGAATAAGTGTGTAGCGGTTCACGGAGAGTATGTCGAAAAATAAAATTAATTTTATCACGGAAAGTTAAGTGTTTTCTTATTAGGCTACTTACTTATCATCCCGCCCTCGTATTAAAGCTGATAAATGTAAAAACAGACGAAAATTAAATAAACCATGTTATTCGTTTATGAAAACATCCGCTTTCATATTTGGAATTTCTGAATGCCCGTCAAATTAATCAATTCAACCTTTGTATCCACGAATTCGAGCACAACCTATGAATAGACGATAGTGCGCAGAGTGCCCGTGGCATTTTCATTAGCTAGCTGAGCGACATCGCCTCACTATTTTATTAAAAAAAATCCAATGTAATAAATAACCAATTTAATAGTGGTTGGAAACGAAATTTGTTTTTATGCCAGGAATCTAACAGCCATCACTTGAGCTATGTTTGAAAATATTTTTTTGTTATTACTTGCTTGTTACGCATAACGCACCCGTTACAAACGCTCTGTCGATGTAGTAAAGTTCTAAATGACGTCTATGTGGCAAAGATTGAGTTTTTTCCTCAATTAGGTACATGTTGTATTCAAAATGGGGCTTGGAATCAGAAACATGCTGCTTTTGAATATTTTGTTTCGAAAATAACATAGATGAGAATATGTTTAGAGAATTAAAATTTTTCAAGCGACTCTATAGCCCACGTTCAGTCTCAGTCTGAAGACAATTAATAGACACGAACGTTAAGAAGAGTTGGCGTATGTCCGGCGGCATTATGAACGTCGTTGTGATCGAGTCACCGCCGAGCTTTTGTGATAATTATATACATATATGTATTTAGAAGTGCGTATTTATAACAGACTTTGGTATTATAGCAGATAATATATTCGTCAGAAGGATTATTCTGAAATTGATTGTATTCCCCACCTCAAACTATATTTCTCGTCGCAAATAGTGCTTGTAGAAAATAGACTCGAAATTATGATTAAAATAATGTGAGATTTTAATGAACGAATGCTATTTAGTGGTAGATAACGATTGGACAATATCAAAAATAGGCGGGTATAAGAGGAAGTTTTAGATTGCTTCTAGCGATGGGCGTGGACCTGTCGATGATTAATAGAAAAAATCATATCAACTGCGTTATGTCTCTTATTTACTTATATAAGAAAAATAATGTTATTCGTGCCTTTTCACTAGTTTAGGCATACATAGTGCAGTATGCTAATATTTTCTTTAATTATACCTAATAATTTCTTTAATTATACCTAAAAAATTCATTAAATCAACATAGAAAACTTTACAACATTACCATATTGTATTTGACACTCACACACGTATATACGAATTGATTTATATTGTTCAAACTTATAATATAAATTAACTATGTTCGAATTTCGACCACTGGGCGAATTCTAGTATGAATAATTATACAAAATCAGATAACATACATGTATTATATAGTATCCAGTGTCAAGTTTGTCTTCATTCCGTTTAAACGTATTTATGTTTCCGACTATAGACTGCTTACTTTCAAGGAGTTTAGTGAAAGATAGTCTTTGAAGACGAATTTGCCAGTTATATTAAATTTGCAAGTAACGAACTGGGAATTGTAGGTGTTTACTCAAAGTTCGAACTAGCTAAGGATAACGAGCGAAGCATAAACATGCCGTAGTTATCGTGACAAGCTTACTTTGGTTATTATACTAATTTGAAATAATTAATTTTAACCTTAAATATGTAATCCGCACTAAATGAAAGAAGTTTATTACTAGTTATATATTTAATATACTAGTAATATATTTAGTGCAGTTTCCTGAGCATGAACATCAGTATGTTTTGCTGATTGTCAAAATTAATTTGCAAGAGGGCTTCCCGGATTTTGTTTGATGGGGACGAGCTGAGTACTCGAGTAGTTAGGATCGTGTTTGCCTTTGTAGGATGATGTTTGCGCTTACAGTCCTTAGAGTATGCTGCGTTTCGAAAACTATTACATAGGTCACGGAGTTCACGAAAGTGTCACATTTATGCAGTCGCAATTAAGGATTATCAATATTAAACTTACGAATAATTATTTAAATTTCTATTTCTATTCTATTACTTTAAATTTCTGCTTAAAAATAAAAAAAAAGACCTTAGCTATTTAACAGAGAACATAGAGCTTAAAAATGTAGCGTATTTAAGCGTTTTGAATGTTTATTTCTTCTCTTCAATATTTATTTCGAATATGCAAATATACTTGGAAACCTTTTTTGTAGGCTTTCTTTGCGATGCTTATATACTGACTACACATTTGAATACATTACGTTGGATATTGGATTAAAGGTAGATACTTAATTGATATATTTGAAGTATATAACATTTGTCATAATGCAGCTTTGTTAAAATAGAGTATAAAGTAAAGTAAAATATCAGCCTATACATGTCCCACTACTGAGCAAAGGCCTCCTCTGTACAGAGGGTATCAGGGCTTAGTCTACCACGCGGCTCCACTGCGGATTGGCAGACTTCACATATCTTCGAAATATTTTTTTTGATTATTATTTCGAAAATATACAGGTTTCCTC